ATTTATTAAAGTACAGGTATTTGTTTTTTTTTTTATATCATGCCATGCTGTTTAAATTATAATCCAAATTTATAAACTAAAAATGCACACAATGATAAAAAATAATAAACTTATAATAATCATAATAATAAAATTAGTATATCATGAATGTAAAAATCATTACAACGATCGCGAAACAATTCTGCTTTGAAATCTCGACCGAATGAGAGACACAGTTATAATTGATTTAAATCGGCAAAATAATCGATCCAACCTTGCAAGGGATAAATTTCAAACATAATGTGAAAGGGATCGATTATGATCAAATAAAACCATGCTTTTCATAACGGCAAACATTTCCAAACGCCATGACTTTCTGGCCGAACTGAAACATCTCTTACGTGACGGATCTCAGAGCGCCATGACGGAGTCTCCTCCGCCAGCATCCCCCAAGTTGCCCGACGCGCTCCTCTCTATCGAGACCAGCGTGCCGGGCTTGCCCTTGAACCTCATTTTAGCGTCGTCCCCGACGACGACTGTCTTCTGACAGAAGATCAGAGTCAAACAGCTGACGACAAACAGGACACTCGGCAGGATCAGCGAGATCAAGAACTCTTTGTAGGTGGTTTCGAGATCGAAGCGCGACACGACAATGTCCGTCTTATCCTCGGCGTAGAAGCACGGGAATCTAGCGCGCGCGTTATGATCGGACCCGTCCTTCCCGTACTCGTGCAAGAACTCTTTGCACTCGTCGCGAAGCGTGTTCACGCATCCCTCGAGATTGATCATGAGCCGGCTTTCGTTGGCGATAATCAAGCTCTGCTCCGGCGGCGCGACCAAGCTCTCGGTGTCCAACGGCTTTGTGGCGAATATGTTCAGGTAGGACAGGTACGTGAAGTTCGTCAGATCGGTCAGCAGCTCCTTCTCCAGCACGGAGCCGTTGATGCAGTCGACCGCCTCCACGCCCAGCGTGGAGTTGAAGATCCCGTAGCAGGACGCCATCATGACGTCGCCCCGATCCTCGTGCCAGATCTCCCGATTCGTCTCCACGTCTATCGCCCGCTCGCACTGGCTCAGGTACACCTTGTCGCCGCTGAGGAGGATCATGTTCTTGTTCCTGGTCGGGATGTCGACGCACCTGCGGTCGCAGTTGTAAGGAGTCCGTATGCGCGCGCAGGTGCCGCGGTTACAGTTAAACAGGCCGTCTATGTCGATGCAGGTGATCTTGCCGCGGCGACCGGAGCACTTGAGGGGTGGATCCGTGTCGTGGAACATGCACTCGAACGCGTCGGTGATGTTGATGCAGGTGCCGGCCGAGCAGTTGAACGTACCTGTGAGATTGCGGCACTCGTCCGCGATGCACTTGGACTTCTTCGCGTTCTCCTGATCGATGCCGTAGCACGTTTTGTTCGTCGTGTTCGTGCAGTTTGCCAACAGAATCGTCGATCCGTTTCGGCGGAGGTTCACGTGGATCTGCACGCACGGCCCGGAGGTCTTCGACAGGCACCACTCGCCGCAGCTGCCCCAGTCGCAGTTGTCGGCGTTCACCGCCCGTATCGTCGTGCACATCACAGGCACTTCGCTGATGCCCGATTGAAACGCCCGTCCGCTCGGCATGTAAATCGCGACTGTTAGGTAAACTAAAGCGACCGACGACAGCACCATCGTCATCTGGCAGATGCAGATTGTGCCGCAGATACGGCCATCCTGCGGCGGTATCACCAGGTTCTCCACCGGCACTGGTTTCGGCATCCTGCCGGATTGATCCGCTCGACCGAGTCACCAATCGATTGTCTACATGCACTTGTTCATCTTACGTAGGCAAATGTGTGCAACTGCTGTTTACGCTAGATAACAAAACACGCCGTTTATATTCGTCCCAGCGGATTGAAAAAGTATCGAGAAGTGATTTAACAGTTGTTTAGAATCTCTGGATCAGTCGTCGACGATTCGCGATACTTCTCTTTGGTATTATTTGTATTCTTATCAGCATTCAAAGACACGAGAGATCACATCCTTTAGTCCTCTCACGTTCCGATAAGATACATTGAGTAAAAATCTTCAAATCTCATGCATATTTTGCTTCGGGCTGTTATATAAGGCGAAATTCTCGTATCGTTCAATAAATTTCACGATAGTCTGAATGGAGAGGCAACAATTACCTTAAAAAAGACAATTTCACCAGGTAAGAGCGGAGTTCTCAGAGTTCTAGCCGTCACGAGTCAAGCGGTTGATATTTTCCGCTCGCATCGGGCTTCTGCATCTTGAGGAATTAACGTGTCGAGAACCGTTCACGTCGCAACATTCTGCGTTACATCACAAACTCGATGCAGCGTCGGGGATTCTTCCTCCTCGAGAAATACGTCAACACTCCGCGCCGATTTCTGCGTTACTTTCGGAGACTCGCGAGTTCATCGAATTTACGCAGGGATCAGAACACACGTTTGCATCATTCGGTTCCACGTCAGAGTTCCATGCGAGAGTCTCTCCTTTTTACCGCAGGACGAGTCCAACCGCGCGCATGTTCCGTTCTGGTCCTCGTGCGGTATGCGCCGACGAAGGCCCTCGCGCGATGACGCGCATTGATCGCGGTGTCGCGCGACTGCGCCTCGCCGACCTGCAACGGCGCCGCGCGCGTTACCGCAGTTGACGTCATTGTGTACCGCGAAGACGCCTAACTGGAGGATGATGCGGAATCATCTCCAGAGATGGCGGGTTGGCGACCGATCCAAACCAGCTGTTCGCTGATTTTTCAAAATTCCTAGTGCGTCGTCAAAAATGATGCGAAAAATTAGATAAAGAAAATTAAATAAATCTCTCTTGAATTGGCATCGCGGTACGCAATTTTTCTCGCTTCGAGAAAAATTCAATTTACGTAGGTATTTTTAGGCACCTAATATCTATCTTTGGAAATTTTCACTTCGAACACTGAACTTTAAGAGGACATTTAATGGGAGAATATCGATCGCTGTGCGCGCTTCTCGGCGAAAGTTTGGAAAGTAATCGCGGCGAAGTTGTAATGAAGTCCTCGCTGGAAATAAACTAGGCTAAAGTGAAGTACTGAAATAGGAAAGAGAATAATTCCGAGCTACGTTTGCCTGATACGAATGTGGGATTATATTCGTCGTGGTCTATGTAAAGTTCCTAAGAGACCTAGGTTTAACCGCGAAAACTAGGACACCATCCGTTTCATGCGCTCGATGAAAATGATCGACAATACCGAGCGCGATGTAACTTTTTTTTTAATCTTCTGTGTGTTCACAATTATAATATGAACGAAGGTGAAACTAACATACAGACGTTACTTATATATTCGTATTTACGATCTCTTGCGGATCAATTCTGAAAATAATTTCCAGCAGGCATCTGAAGAGAAATACGTTAGGACCGCTGTGCCAGTCGTAAACTTCTGTAACATACATGTCTTCTCTAATATATATCGGAGTATACATTTTCTCCGAGAACTCCATAAAACGTTTTATTTCCCGCGCAAACATAAATGTACAATCTTATTATAAATGTACACTGTCTTTCTAGCTTTTTTATTGTTAACATTAGTTTTTTTTATTGTCAATTTTTCTCACAGGTTAGACTTATTTGATTCTGGCTCAAGATCACAAGAGACACTTTTTACTAAATCTTTTCTAGAAATTATGCATTATGCAATTGTTACTTCATTATGCAAAACAAACCGAGCGCGATATGGTGACATGGTTTTGTTAACGACCTTCGCAACGTGTGACAGTTTTACCGGACTCAAAGGAGAAAAAAGCGCGGGCGAGGCGGTGAACAAAAAAAAATAAGGTTTACGGTGTTCGCACGTAACATAGTTTTATCGAGCGTCAGGCTCAGACGGTGTGGCGCCTCCGTGTTATGCGGCTTTCCACAAACGTGCAGCATACGCGCGTGCTTCTCTTGCCTATCATTTACGAGATCGATGCACGCAAGTGGAATCTAGCGCGCGTATCAACATTAATTTTCTGTATTGATCAACGCGGAAAAGTACAAGCGGTCTCTGCAGTACTTTTTCCACCGTACTCATCTCTCTGCAAAACAAAATTAGATCCACAATTTGTATATAAAAAAACTGAAGATGCGTAACTATTTTAAAAAGATGTCCTTTCGCTTCTTTATGCGAAACGTTAAAAACTGAGAGATGCGAATAAAATTTCAGACTCGTCAAAAGATAAAGGTCTGAGGCTTTTTCATCGCGATTTATTAGGACTTGTTAATTTTACATACTGATCTATTTCCTTGGAATAGCGTTGCATTATTCACCATCCTTGGAAAAAAGAAAAACGATATGCATCAGAAAATCTTGAAATTGGTATTTGCAAAGTGGAAGACTGTAACCTTCTTTTACAGAATGCTAGTGTAAATAGCTGATTGCAGATATGTAACATGGAAACGCGCATCAATATTATGCAGCATAATTGTGCAATTCGATCGAATCCTAAATGAGGTCGACTGGAATAGAGTTTGTCGCGTCTCTGCGGCTCACCTGAGAATCGATCACCTGGTTTTAAATTATTCAGCGCAAAGACCTTTCGCGATACGGACATATTTCCGTATATATATTCTCAATTCACCGGTGGACCAATATAAAAGTGTCACTTTTACCGCCTTAGTAATATTCCACTTATCGATGTTACGGAATGTGCCTTACATCTACAATACTTATGAAAACTATAGATACCTATTTATTTCCAGCTAACGTCACATGTGTGTGAGATATGACTTATTTTATCTGCATAACAGCGTCACAAAACAATGAGCAAAGTAATAATAATGAAAGAGTAACATATCATATAAATTTATTATAATACAAAATTATTTTATACTGAAAATTTGTATCGGTTTTACATCAATCATTTTTTTTTTTTCAAATAAAACTTATGTTGTGGATGCTGCAAATATTCAAAAATGTATCGAGTGGAAAGCAGAAACATCTAGATTTTATTCAACGAAACAAGCGAACGCGTGATTGACACGTGCCGCAGCCGAGAATGAACGATTGATCGATCGCGCGATGACAGGCAATACGTTTTTACACTAGATTTACTGGCCCTGATTACACTCGGCTAGCTCCACTTTTTGTAATTTATAGGAGTTCCACGACGATGAAATACAAAAAGGAAGATTCTCGCTAATGAAAGTAGTAAGATTACATATTGTTGCGGCACAGAGATGTAATTACGCGAAATAAATTAAATAGAATAGACTACATCGTAATTGCAATTTCCATTAACTGTTCACGCTATTTTAACGTTTTATCTTGTCGGAGAATGAAAAAAATATCTATAAAAAATAATTTAATAGCTTCTTTCCACGCATTGCATCACTTTTCTCTCGAAGCACGTGAACCGTGCATGCCATTGAAATTCTCTCGTTTTATCGTTAAAACAATAATGGTTCACGCGAGTGCACTAATCATACAAATTATTCGAATTATCCTCGATGATGAAACGACCAGATGCTGCATTGATCAGCCGGTAATATCACCGCGGGCTCTCGGCGACACGCGGATGTCAATTGCGCGAGCAACTATGCGTTAAAGTACACGTTAAATAACACTTGAAGCACCTTGAAGAGAGTTGCGGCAGTAGTTTCGCCGTGACAACCACCTGTCAAGCACTTGTCACGCGTGTTTACGCGGGCTTGCGACGAGCGCGAATTCGCCGCCGCTCGTCGAGGGGATGCTACGCGCTCGGAGTCCGCACGCTTCCGCCGGGCTGACACGCGCGGAAAACGCGCGCGAACGATCGCGGAGTTCCGTCTAAATCTCTGCTCTGTACTTACGCAATGGTAGGACGAGTCGTCGGTCCGGTATAAACCGCAGAAAATCCGCTTTCCGCAGTCTCGTCTGGCCTGCCGAGGGAAACAAATATGGCGGTGCGACAGCCACTGGAGCTGCAACGGCTCCACCTCGCAGTTGCCGTATTGTACCATAAAATCAATAACTACCCCCGCGTTGCTACCAACACCATCGTTTCGTCATTGCGAGCCACCCCGCGGCTTCACGCACATTCACGCTGTCGTACTGGCGAACGCCCACGCGTTGATCGACGACTGTCTCGTCACGTCGATTCTGAAGAATTGCCTTCGAATGAAAATTGCAAGATCGGATATCCTTGCTTATCAGGCCGATTCGAAAATTATCGAAATCTCTCGTCGGTTCGTCTCAGCGTCGTTCGCCTCCCCGTTGTTTCGATCGACGGCGGATTTCCGCGACAGAACCTATGATCCTCTTTGCTGACGTCACGAAGAGCGGCCTGGGAAATAAAGAGCCGCGGGAGAACGATCGATTCTTGTTCCTGGCGTCCGGCATACATCGCTGGCTCGCTGAGCCAATTAGGGATTCGTAGGGAACTGGTTAACGTGAGAATTCTGGGAATGTTCTAATTACTGTTGTCGGTTGCCTTCTTCACTTACCGTCACCCAAATATCTAATCACGTGTTTTTGCGATCGGTGCGTGGACGGAGCGCGGTGTAAATAATTTTATGCGCATCGTTAATTTGCTCGGAGCCGAAACGGCAGTTGCATCGCGCGCAATATAGATTGCACCGGCTCGTCCGAGGAATATATTTGCATCCACTCGTGCGCGTATTTATGGCCATAAATAGAAGCGACTTCCAATATCTCCAATAATCCATCCCTTTGCTCCTTCCCCATTTCAAGCTTTCCCTACAAAAATGTAGCGCCGAGGAGCTCGGAACTCTGATTAATACGAATACGAATATTTTTCTCTTTGTATTACGATTTGAGAAATTTCGAAATTTTTCTCCTCACTGTTTTCTCTGAATCAATTGTAGAATCGTTTGCACATAAGATCTTTAATAGTAAAATAGAAGTATTTTTATAACGCATGTTTATTCGTATTAAAATCTCTTAAAACGACTCGGATATATATATATTGATTGCTCTTGACAATTAATCGCGCGAGAATTAACAAGTTAAGCTTACGGGATTTGTTATCGTTCGACGTATTGCCGTAAAATGGGATTATCATGAAATCCCTTGTCGCGATCGCAATATTGTTTGACACCATTATTTAACGTATTTGACCTTCCTTTAAATAAATCAAAGTTTATTACATCTTACGCTTATTGTTCCCCGTTTATTAATTAAAGATAAACTGTACAACGCAGTCACAGATATGCACATGAAAATCTTTTATTTAATCTAATCGGACGCGTGAAATTGTTTAATTTCTCATTGTTTTTGTGTCGAGATTTTATTGAATTGTTCAAAAATTTTACGCAATTATTTCCGAGATGGCGACTTTATCCGTTCTGTGTCAACATTCAACATGTTTTATCGGCACGAAGATTTTTTAATCTGCACTGTTGGAACAAAAAATCTAATCGTTATTGATTTGTACGAATCTGACAATTAGCGTAGACTTGGCAGCGTCGTTTGGCGTTCGATGCGGCACAAAAACAGTGAAAGAGATAGATGTGGAATAATCGGCGGCCGAGAAAGTTGGCCCACATTTCGGTTCATTGGCTATCGGCCAATTTTCCACAGGACCACCAACGAGAGGATAATCCAGCTTAAAACTATCCCTGGTTACATCGTTAAGGTCAACCCGTTCACTATGTTACTATGTGACACGTGCCACTCCATCGACGAAAAGGGGGTGCACTACTACACATATGATACTATGCCTGCACGATGGTTCACGTGGACATTTTCATTCACAGAAAGCGGATAATCTTCTAACGAGGGAAATTAGAGCCAACATTGCGTTCCCCGTTAATTAATAAATAAAAATTTATTTTGACGTTATATTATTTTTGAAAACATTATTCTCTCTTCCGGCTAGATTTTTTGTGATTTTCACGCGGTTATTATTTTTCAGTTTTATTCCGTTAAAATATATCTAATTTATTATTTTAGTAATAATAATTAATAATCTCGATCGTATAGGAAAAAAATAAAGCCAAGCGATATAAAAGATCTGATCGCCCTGTAAAATAGCAATTAAAATTTGTGAAAGCAATTAAAATTGTCAATATCTCAAACAACATATTTCAATGTGAAAGCTTTAAGCTCTCATTAAATTTCACGATCCTTTTGAATGAGAAATTTAATCAAAAGATTTTATGATGTTGACGTTAGTAATGCAAATCAATTTGTAAGAACCTTTTAATTAATACTTAATTTATTTTATAAATTTATTCTATAGCGCATCCACACACACACACAATTAACGTTAACTATTTTTTCTTTATTAATCAAGAGTAAAATTTTTCTAATTAAACTCAAACATAATTGGATTTAATAATCGCGAAATGCGAAACCGTGTTCCACATTTCGCAATCATCGCGGCGCGAGATATCGAAGGGTGTACAATAAATTGCGTTTACCATGTTAATCGAAGCCGCTGCGAGGCGGTTGACATCCTTCTTAATAGCGTTTACACAATTTAGCGCGCGACGTGACTGACGGAAGCTGCATTACGCGATAACCGAAGCTTTCGTGAATGAATATTGAGACCCGTTCGTCTGGAGTTACGTCATTCGCGATAATAATAACCCTTCGAGTCATCGGGGAAAGTAGCACTCGATAAATGCCAATTATCGAACGTGTACTTGAAATAAGTTTGTCGTTGAAGCCATCGGCGTGATAGATTGAAAGCACTCTGTCTTTCGCACAAATTTCTTGTACATCTTGTCCAGAACTTGAGGCTTAACTTCATTTCGGTGACTTCGTCATTGTTGCGAACTCCCGCTAGACTAAGGCTGTTTATTGGTCTTCTCTCTCAAGAACATCAGCACTTAGTCATCGTATCGAGGGAAAGTGTGTGTCTGACACTCAAAGAAGATAATTCTCTGCGATTCTCCGCGAAATTTATTTTATCCTTTGCTCTTCAAACCAAATATCGATTCTTCAAGATTTATTTTGACATCAATTTGTTTGCCGATAGCAAATACGATTTTAGAAATAGCAAATATGATACTTTGCAGTATTTGGATTCGCCAGATCAAATTTTGAGAAACTGGATAAGACAAAATTACACTTGTTATATATTACTTTTTGTACTATAGCCAGAGGTTCTTGAGACACAATATCAATTCTCTGTAGTTAATATAAAGTTTATTGTGAAAAGACAATACGGAAGGATTCTTGTCGATTACAGTCTTAACTGAACAGAAGAAGCGCATTTTCATTAGTCACGCAACAGTAGCGCACGCACTCTACAGACACTGGCGCCAAACATAAAACAATTATTCTCTACAACACTCTATGTATTTGCGGTTCTCAACTTGTTATTCAATATCTTCACGTTCTTCAAGCGAGAATTCTAAGAATGCGTCCGAGATTTGAGCATATAAGTCATCATGCGAGAAAAGCGATAATAAAATCCCTCCGTTTTTCCTCGCCGCTGTATATAAAATTCCGCATTCGCCTCTGATTTAATTGCAACTCGACTCATTATTTATGTGATAATCGATCCTTCGAATTTCTCGGCTTTTTGAGAGCAGTGTGTTGCATTAAATATGTGATAAAGGGGAAAATGAAAGGTGCAGAGAAGTGAAAATAACAGGAAATAAAAATTAATAAGATAATTCTAATACGATAAAATAACTCGTAGCACGTGATATAAAATTTAAAAAAATAATACAATTTATATTATTCATCACACGTTCAAAGTTTTATATATTTTTCTGAACAAGGTCTAAATTATATCACACGATATATCTCTACCAACTTATTTCTGCCTCTTCTCTTCTATGATTAAAGAATGCGAAAAACTTCAAAGGGGGGAAAAAAAAGACATAAAATTGTAAAAGGAGAGAAAAGCTTCGAAGAATTACTTGGAGCAAAGCTCGCGAGAGTTATAGCGATATAAATCGCTGAACGGCATGCCATCCGGTCGACAACAACAGCGATAAATTGTATGTCAGGGCAATCGGGGGGGGAGAGAAAGCGCGAGGGGCGCGCTTCGAAAAAGAGGATGCGCGCAAGATGATCGAGGCTTATGAGGTTCGCTCCGGACAACGACGTGAAGCGTCGCCGTCGTCATCGTCGTCGTCGGTGGTGGCAGCGGCGGCGGCGGCGGCGCGGCGGCAGCGACGGCGGTCGATGCCACGAGATGCCGTCGTTGGCGCTGGCGTTGCTGGAAAATAAGCTCGTCCGAAAGCTCCGACTGCAGTAGCCCGGCATCCGTCGGCGCCGCGGCCAGGACGAAAGCTCGCACGCGCGGACTTCGCTCTCGCCGTAGGAAGCCTGCCGATGGAAGCTCGTCGCTGAAAGCGCACGCTATGCGGACCCCGTCGTGATCCACGAATCGCGGGACAGTATATTATTTCTTTGCCTGGTTCCCTCTTGCCCGACCTTTCTTTCCCTCCCCTTCTCTCTGACCAACCCTCCGGCTTTATCCATTCCCTCGGCAGCGGCCAGGGCGTCGTGACGGCAGCGTCGCGGTTGGTTCGCGTATCGCGGGGACAAATGTGTACGGTGAGCAGCAGTGTGACGTAGTGCGGCGAAGTAGGAGAGGACGAAGAGATCGGCAGGAGGGCAGAGGAGCGAGGAACGCGGGAAGAGGAGCAGGAGGTGGATGATGATGAGGGGGCACAGGAAGAGGGCGCCGAGCCCCGATGCATTCGCATCTTCTACATAGGGGGTACCGTTCGCGACAACGCGGGGAGGGGGAGGGGGACGATCGAGCTTTCTCTGCGTGACTCGTTCCAATCGAATTTCTCGGGGACGAAATCCCGCCTGAGATCCAGCAGCGCCTGAGGCGCCTTCAAATGGAACGGCTCGAGAATATCGTCAAGTATCGCGAAATAATCTCGCAGAGGGGGATTTCTAAATTCTCGCCGAGCGAAATCTATTTACGTCACAGGAGATCACCCTCCGAATCTGCATGGGGATCGCACCGCCGGCGATGAACTGCTCCTAGAACCAATTAACGTCTGAAAAAGTAATCCTATAAGTTTTGATTGAACTATCCGCTAAATAGCCGCTTCTTATTGATTATTTTCTTAGATGCTAGACGCTTCTGAAATCATTTGACGTAGAATTACTTAACATGACGTGAAAGCACTTTTGGAGGAGCGAATAGTGATTCTGTATAAATAATTGTGTCTCCCTACAAAGCTTACGAACGCGTGCGCTTGACCGAAGGGTGTTGTGTGAATAATTCTCCCCGGTGGAGTTTGATTATTTATATTAGAATATTTTTGTCAAAGAAGGTTGTACTATATATTATTTTATTTTGATGGTTACAACATTCTGAATATGCAACTTATTTTTTTATTAGACATTATTAATGACTTGAAACAACAATCGGGGTTTTGTCCATCCTTTTCTTTCTGTAAAAATTGTATTAGACGAAAGGTTAGGTAGCTTGTGCTATATAATAGAGTATACCTTCGCGATGTAAATCATGCATTAGAAATCCAGCGAACTTAGGGAAAAGTTGTCCACTGTGGACGCCTTATACATGTACATTCTTGCCTTAAAAAGAGAATTTTAAATTAAAAGCAATAAAATATGTCATGTACATGTATTTATATATAAAAATAGTTTGTTTTGTTTATTTCAATATATAAAAATAGATTTGCATATATGTTTAATATTTATATAGATATATGTAAATTATTAGATCTTATATTCACATATTAATCACAAATTGGCATAAATTAAAGATTAAAATTTAATAAATAAAATAAAATAATTGTACTATATTTTTTTAACTAAATGATAAAAATTACGATTGCTAGCAATAGGTCAATATTTGCATTATTTTTTCTAATTATTTTGTTAAAACTTAAATACGTTTTTTTAATTGTCTTAGTTACTGTCTCTCATTTCTAGTGAGTGCATAAATAATTTTATTTTTACGCAATGAGTTGTGAATAACAGAGGCCCAACTGCGCAGATAAACGATTCTCAAGCACCTGCGCGAAGGACGCGATATAAGTTTTTAATCTCTTCGATTAAACGTCTCTACGTGAACTCACATAAACTCGGTTAAAGCTTGGAATAAGTTTTATCCTTATCGACCCTCGTGCAACGTGTATACATGAGATAGTAATCTATATAAATAAAATCCAATAATGGAAACCAATGTTTAAAATTTTCAAGCGCTCAAAAAGATCATTTCGTTTTTCTAAGATACGTGCCGGAAGAAAATTTCACCGCTTGGATAAATTTATCTTCGACTGCTTCGAGCGCGATTTGACGAGCTTATTTTGATATTAAATGCTCCGATTATTTGAACGAGTATAGATTTCGCCTTTTTGAATTTTCGTTACATCAGATATGAGAGAGAGAATATAAAATTACATCAAATTTAAAATAGATAGTATCGATAATATCCGCGATGAAGCTGAAAAATTGTCCGGCTGCGACAAGATTCTGCTGAAAATCAAGTCGTGCGACGAAGTTTCAAATGGGCATTGTTCATCTCGTTTATCTATAACGAGAATCAAATGATCATTGTGTCGAAAGCCGATAGTGCCCGTGGAGCAAGTTAGAAACGCGTAGACAAACGTAATTGTTCAGCACTTTCCCGGAATAACCCTTATGACATTAGATATCCTACGGAGTCATTATATCGTAAAAGATCCATGAACCGTGACTTTTTAATATTTTAAGTATTTTAGCAGCATTATCAATTTAAATCAATAAATCGAACATTCTTTTTTTCGTAGTACTTTTATGTAAAATATTAAGTTCACTCCAATGACGAGAGAAAGAATACTATCTGCGACTAGGATAAAAGAAATATGTTAGACTCATCGCCGATGGTATTGATTTTGACCGTTTTCGTTACCACTTACGAGCTCCACGCACGTGTCTGGCTTGCCAAGAAGTCAAGTAGATTCCAACACAATATATCGCACGGTCCTTATTAAATTAAAAGTTATATTTTACCGCCCGACCGAATGTATGTCGCGAAAGAGAAAAACAAGAGAGAAAAAAGGACGGTTTAATCGATGCGGCTTGTCGCTTAAAGGAGATCAAGATAAATGGTTCTCGTTGCACAATGCCTACAAAGAGCGTCCTTTCTAACGGAAGCATCGCGGCGCACATTATCCCCCGGGGAATCTCCGTGACAAAAATCATATCGCAGGTGATTCTCCGCGAGGTCTTTCGGAGCGCGCGCACACAAAGAAAGCTCAACACGCGACGTTTGTCGGAACGCGGGGGACAAACGCTCGAGGCTTGTCCGCAGATCGTTCCGTCTCTTCGACGTCCGACGTGACGACGGGCAGCGAGCACGCCGGGGGACGACGACGAGGACGACGACGTCGCTTAGGAGCCTCCAGCACGAAACCAGCACTGCCGTTTGTTCTCCGAGATGGCGGACGAAAAGGAGAAGCAGACGTTCCTGCAGAAGCTGCTGTTCTACACGACCGCGTTCTTCATCCTCCTCAGCACCTTCAGCCTCTTCGCCTTCCTCTTCTTGGTCCCCTTCGTTATTGACCCCGCTTTCACCACCATCTTCATGCAGTTCGACACTCGACCCGCCGAGTGCGTCACCATCGATGTTGAGTCCAAAAGAGGTGAACAATCGGCACCCGTTAACTCACCCGTTCGCTCTTGTCTGTCGATCCTCGTTTGCATGCTGTGTAGTGTAAAGCTATTCTTCGTTCTTCGTCGCTCTGAGGTTTCTTCCTCGCGCGCAATTAACGACGTATCCACGGCTTCACACGTTTTTCATATTTCTTCATTTGTCTGTTTGAGCGTATATGTATGCCGGTATGAACGTACTTCTCTTTGCGCTTGTACGTATGATTTTCCTCCAAGTTGCAGAAGAAATCGCGTCCACAAATAAACACTTAATGTTAAAAAAGAGAAACATGATTATTGCACGTTCATTGTTCGGAAGAATTACGCTCTTTTCAAATGCATAATGACATTATACAAAATTTCCATGTTATTAACAATAAAACGGTAGTCTACTTTTTAAAAAAAACATACACATTATAATTTCCTTACAATATTTTATGTCAAGACCAAATACATGATAGACAATGACAGACAGGCAACAGGAACTGATAATTTCCATTTACAGAATTAGGTCAACGTCAAAATATGCGATTTTCATGAACGATTGGAAAAGCTATTTCGAGATCGAACAAAAGTGACGAAGGACATTCGTGTGCGACAGCTGACATTCTCGTATTTAATTTAATATTTATCATGCCATTATACGGCCAGTATAAAAGAGCAGCTGCTTTCATTCGCTAAGATTGCAGAAATACATTGTAGACAATTACGAAAATAATTCCGCATTTTTTATTATAACACGCAAACATTAAGAAAATTATGTTATCACAACGTCTTCATTTTCGCCTGAAAATACTTGGCCGACTCGTCCCTAGATAAATTCCACGGAGATTGCAACAAAAAAGCGTATGAATTTTTTACTCCTCGATGGCACGCATTTGCCTTTCATGTCGTCCGTGATACACGCGGGAAAGAACACGTAACATAAAAGTTTAACGCTATCTTATAAATTCTAATTTGCCGTTGGATATACACGATGGCGACGTGGAACACGCGCGTATTTGAAAATAAAACGAGATGTTTATCTTTATAGTTGAGAAGATTTCTGTTAAATGGACCGACTCAATTTCTTTTCCAATTCTGTATACATAATCAACCTTTTTCCCCGAGTCGTTCACGAAGATCAATTATTGGTAATTGGTATTTGATCAATCCTGCGTCTGTTTTCAAAGACGGAATCAATGAAATCACGGCTATTCGATCCTTGAAAAGAAATACTCGCGAAAAGGGTTCTGTCTCCATAAGTGAAATAAAGATGTGAGAGAAAAAAATCGACTGCCGATCGATCGTTAGATAGAAAGCGGACACTGCACTCGCGATAAGATCGACGCAACTGGTGTCTTTATGCTCTTGGACTCATTCGAGTCTCCCCTCGTTTCTTCTTCGCGCCACTGCAGTTCTCTCCTCTTCACGAACGTCAATAGGGTGCAGGTGTCCTCCACGATCGAACACCAGTGTAGCGTCGTGTCGACACCTCTGCAAGTTACATCACAATGCAAAACATCTCTGACGATTCTATTCCTCTCTTTTTCTAATATTCTCCGCTTCCATCGCCTTCACTTTCGTGCATGCGCGTTTTCTGTATTCATTTCACGCGTGATCTATTCTATTGTATGTCTGCATATTGATGTGTGTTGCGTTAATCGTACGCTTGGGACAAATTGATGTTTGAGCTGTTAAAGCAATCCTTTTCACTTAAACACGATGTCGGATGGTCGTTCGAGAATCAGGATAAAATAAGAATTATTTCAAAGATTGACAATCTTTTTTTTTTCACAAAATTATATGTTATTTGTACAACGCTTATCGAGACGAAATACAAGCTTTAAGCTTTCGCGAATTTGCGCAAGGATTCGCGACTCTGTGCTTCACGTGATAAAATTATTAATGTTCGCAGTCTACTGTCACGCAGAAATGTCTCTCGTTCACTGTCGGCGTACGCGCCATTCATGTTCGGTGTACGTATGACGATTGTATGTGTGTGTACGTGTACATATGCCGATAGTCCTCACCTTCCGATTATTATCGACGCGTGAGTGTTGGGTGTATCGCGCTTGAATTATTCTTCGCGGCCGAATTCCCATGAATGATCGTTGAGTCCAGGTACGAGCAATTGCTCATGGACGTCCTGTAGAGAGGGTTGCACGAAGGAGCTGTACGATTGCACGCAAATACTCGTCAACTATAAGCTACCGGAAAACGTGTCCGAAGGGACAGGCGGGGAAGGCGGAGCGGTAGGAGGTGTCGAGGACGACGAAGAGAGCAAGCGGATGCCGCGTTACGAGCGTTCCTTAGGCGAATACGTCGAGGAGCTCAACGAGAACTTCGTCGAGGACGATGAGACCGGACTGCCGAAACCTTTCCCTACAGGTACAAAGTGAGGCCGTAGCGCATATCGGCGAACCGAATACCGTATGCTTAATCCTCCTAATATATGGGTCTATTTCACCCGTGTTTGTCTCGGAAAACGTGATTATATAATCTAACCCGAAGAGCAGCTCGCTTTATGTGCGATCGATATTTTGCATATGCATCGAAAAGTCTTCGCAGCATTGTGAACATATCGCAAGATTATAAAATCCCGTTTTATTGTTCATTTAAAGGATAAATAGAAGCAGCAAGGATATTAGAATAGAGACAGTACATTGCAATATTTTCCAGTAATTGATAGTTGTTCTCTCTTAATGATCGCATTCGACTGCAATAATTTATGCATGCATTTGACTGCATGCACTTTCTTTAAAACGAATAATTTTGTTCTGATAATTTGGAAATCATTATCGAGGGCATGGCGATTGGAAATGGCGTTCGACGTCGCAGTCATTCCGACGGGGCTTTGCGTACAGCAATTGTTAGGGAGCGGACGTGGGCTTAAATAGATCCAGTAGACGGAGAGTTAAAGCTAGCGGGCCTGCGGGAGAGATAACTTTCGTCCGTCCACCCGTTAAAGCTCCGTGATTTATCGCTGGATGCGAGAACGCGCTATATTCAGGAGTCATTATACGCGTTTTTTTAATATTTTTTTTATTCCGGTCTTTGTTCTTCCGGTTCTCCCGCCGAGGATGGCGTCCGTCGCCGAACAATAACGAGGGGAAGTTCGCAGGTCTCATGGGCAACGACTCCGAGTGGTACTTCACCGGGGCCAAGCTGTTCCCCAACGTAAAAGGCTGTGGATACCCTCCAATGCTGAATTGCAGTATTTTCTATCGGCAGTACGCCAACATAGGGCAGAACTTTAGCTGTTACTACTCGAAAGTGGACCCCGGAATTGTCATCAGCGATCTCGATATGTGGCAGGTCTCTGTGCTATATTTTACTCTCCATGTGGCGTGGATATTTCGATCCTCGTTTGCGTTTCTCTTTCTCTCTCTCTCTCTCCTTCTTTAAACCCTTCGAGCCCGGGTCGTTCCTGTCGTCCTTCGCATTGTGATGGCATCCGTCGGACTTGGATATCGCGACTCTAAACCCTTCGTAGTATAACTCGGTGACCGGGTTAGCGATTTACTGGCGGTATGTGCGAGTCACGCGAAACAGCCGTGTGACTTTTGCCCGAGTTTACGGTGGGACGAGCGCGCACTTGAGAATCGATACCGCGGCCGCCAATCGAGAGCGGTATTATACGCGGCCGAAACTGTTACGTATAAATGATTAAACAGATCCCGTTGATGAATCTCCGTATCTACGACGACTCTAATTGAAACCTGCTCGGTCGATTATCGCTTTGATCACGAGCTCTGCAACCGAGTCTCGCGCGTTTGTTTGCGCAGAATATTAAATCGACCTTTCCATTCGCCGGAGGAAGTATCGTGAACGGTATAATTTCGTATGAAAATAGTTTTCACGGTTATTCGGGGATAATTGGCGTGAAATGCGCTTTCGTTGAACTCCGCTCAAGTTACACCGACGTCAAAGACTGATATCTACTACGTGATTTCACGCGAAAGATATAAACGGTCGCGGCGGCGGATTTTCCGAGCGTGGAACACGGCGGCGGAAATGCGGCCGTCTGCGCGAGGAACGGACAATGCATTTCAAGCGGCTGAATGGATGGCCGATGACAAAGACGGAAACCATCGTGGCGCGCGGCGCGAGCCGCCCGGAAGAAAAGAAAATTTCTCCCGGCGCGCAGAAATCCAATTTCCACGAGTGCGCGATCGGCGGAGCTATTATAAACCGTTGATAGCATCGGCGATCCCGGAAAAGCCCGGCGTCTCGATGCTATACGAACGCGCCAATCCGCCGAGCGAATGGACGACAGGAAGAAATGGGATCGCGCGGCGCGAATATAAGATCGCGGATGTTTTTTGTGGCTACTTCTTCGGTCGAATTTGCCGGAGAGTCGCTTCGCCGGATTAAATAGGCCGCGTATTATCAGTGGAACTGTTGTGTAGTAAATATTGAAAAACGCTTCTTATGATTTGTCGTTGCGAGTTAATTCAATTTCGCGAATAAGGCTCAATTCGTTTTCGATACGAACCCATAAATGATCGATTTTACTTTATTATTGTCGCTGCTGGTCGAATTACGTACAATTTCACTAGTTACGCTTTCTTACAATGCATCGGTATGAGTTAAATAAGTTTCTGAAACATGCTCAATTCAATTTCTTCAATGTCGATACCGCTTCCAGACGGCTGATCATACGCGGACCGTTACTACTTCAAAATATACATTATTTCGTTATTTTCTGTTTATTATCCTTCTGCACTACTTCTCTACGCCACTATCCGTCGAATTATATTCTGTTTATTAATTCTTTACTCGTAATCTGAGATTTTTCAAATTATCTCTCAACGATATACCCTAGTGATTAAAATTTAATAGACTACAAATTGGGTATTAAATATCACGATGAGTGAAACCGATAATTTTTAATAACCAATTAGTTTTTCCGGTGAAAATTGACTCTTTACAAAGAACACGTCGGTGTTTAGCGGAAAAGAACTTCTCTCTAGCCCTTGTCACATTGCTTGAAACGCTTCTTCAGGTGTACATGAACCTCGTGTACGCGATGGCGATTCCGATACCGTCTTTCATAATCTCGGTGATATACCTCACCATCGCCTACTTCAAGATCTACAACGAAGACGAGGAGGTCCTCGTAGGCGGCGAAGAGGGTGAGGAAGGGGAGGAAGGGGACGGGGACGACGGTACACCCTTGCCGCCAACTAGCGGTGCATTAACGCCCGGAAGTGAAGCCTTCAGGGAAGATTTGGCGAGCTTCGGGCATCAACTCAAGGTCGCGATGGCCGACGACATCAGCAGGGAAAGTCTTGATGGGATTCCTAACTCGCTCTCTGTTCAGGGGTAAGCACAGTTCTGAGAATCTCGTGATATCGATTAAATCACAAAGACACTTTACGTGTCGACGTAAAGAGGGATCTCCTGTCGGACTCGTTACTTCGCTCATATCCCAACTGTTGATCGCTTTTAAGCGTTTAGACCGCCGTGGGGATCTTGTAGGGATTCGAGAACAGGTTTTTTTTTTTTTTTCTAAGCGCTATGCCGTAAATAGGCATAATCGTCTTAGCCGCAATCGCCGGCGACTTAGTTATGTCCTAAGAATAATAATCTTGTCTGACCTGAGCAAAGCTGGCTTTAGCGCACACATATAATCCTCTCTCGATATAAATGCATAGAGAATATCTATAGAACGGAGAATATGAAAAATGAACGACGGACGTTTAGCCGCGCAATTTAGAATACAAGGTATACTCGTTCCTTTTATCTTTTTTACTTATTTACTTTATAATCACAAGAGGGTATTTACGCTGTTGTAAGATTAGCTTGGATATTCAAAGCGCTTCGCTCAAATATAATTTTATGCCCGAGTATAAAGTCGTCTGAATGAAGACTCACTACGGACATAGTGCGCTACGTGCGTAAATGTCATCTCCGCACGGTTTATGCATTCGAGTATGATCGTTGGCATTGAACGAGTATTCAGTCAATTTCCCTCGTGGTTTGCGGTGAACCAAAGGTGTTCGATAATCTAAGTGAACAAGCATCACTGTGTTCGGTATAAAATTGATTAGTTCCGAGCAGTCAGATCGATGTACCAACTTGTTCGCAAACAGCTCGATACATTCACGTTGCTGCAGCTTCCAATCTAAAGGAACACATCATTTAATAACGCGATGCATTGTTGGTTGATAATTACAGCGTTATTTGATCATCATTTCATTTAAGGGGGCACGAACGTAATTTCACATTATTCAAAGCTGCTCAAAAGAATTGTACATTTGCACTTTGTAATACGTTAATTAAAATTATTCGCAACGACAGCGGCATTTAACAGTGATAAGTGACTATGAAATTTAAAAGGCAATTTTAATTCTAAACGAGTTGAATTTTGTTTCAAAATTTTATAATTTTATCCAAACGTAATCACGTTTGAAATTAAACTGCACTGTAATGGATATTATTATGTGCTGACATTGTTTGAAGACATTGCGCGTAAAAGTGTTGGCTGGAAACGTGCACCTCTTCACTAATCAATTATCACTGTGCTACGAGCAATTTATTTAATGCATGGACGGTAGAAGTAGCAGCAAGGCGGCTCGAAGTCTGCAATGAAATATTCAACAAGCTTTCTTACAATTGTACTTTATCTACTTACATATCATAACAAACTTCAAGTCACATGATATTATTTCAAATCAAATGTGTCTTGAAAAAAGTGCGTATATCGTAGACATATGAGAACTTTTCCTTAGACCATGCACAATTTTTTGGACAATAGTTCCGGTCTCGTAGTTACTACAATTAGATTATTCCATGCATGACTCGACCCGATATTAATCCCAACGACGTGCCGCGAATTCTAAAGCGCCGATCTCCCGAGGAATCGGTTACAGAAATCCTGCACGACGGATTGTCCAATAATATCTAACGACCGACGAGAATTCCGTTGCTGTAGCAATTCGAATCCCTGACAGGAACGTGACATGCTTGAAACGCTTCCGACCGTGCACGTTCGGCTGTTGCTTTCGCGGGAGCAAACGTGGGATAAATACACGGGGATAAACTGACCGAATTCCGCAGCGTGTTCAACAAACTGCGATCGTGTGTTTACGCGGGGGCGATACGGAAGTTTCGTGTTTTTCTTTAGATCTTTATTTTTTCGCGCGTTCGTGATTAATTTCATAATAATAATAATTTGCCCCCTTCCCCCCTTTCGTGAAGCTATCGACACGGTGGCACAGCTAAGTGCTCTCGACCGCACTACCGGCGCATCTATCTATAAATAGCGACTCGGGATGCAGGGTGATATAGGTCGAACGGCTGTGCGATAGACTGCGAGTCGCCGCTATTTCTCCTACCGCCATTCAACCGCATACACAGAGTAATCTATTTGAAGTGCTCCGATTCATATCTACCATTCAAAAGGCCGCGACAGATGCGAACGATCAAATACCTCTCTATTCCCCGCCATCTCGTTTCTCAAGCGTGTACGCTCACGAGTGCGTTGTGCCGAGCGTAACGGACTTATTTCCGCGACGCGACGCGCAACTCTTTCAACGTGATTTCTCATTGTCGGATACGTTCGCAGGAATTAGAAATGATTGCCGAAACATGCGCGTTCCGCGAAAATTGTCGGCAAATATATTAACGAAGTGAATGGCGAACGAACGGCGCTCGGAGGGAACGTACAGTTCATTCTATTTACGACGAACTAACAATGTCGTCTGACCCGTTGCACATTTTTCAAGGAGATATAATAGTGAGTAGTGTGTTTCTATGTGTAAAACTACTTGCTACTTTGCTCCAGTTTATTCTGCCGTGTGTAATTTTTCAACGAAAAACCGGGAGAATCGCAATTATTATTCTGCGACTCGGCGGCAGGCGAAAGGAAAGGACACTTCTGCAAAAAGAGGATATTTATTTTTCTACTTTGAAATCGCAGATCGAGTTGGAAAGTTGAGTTTGCTAAGGCACTGCTATAGCTCCTCTGCAGAAAAGTAGGTAGATAAGAAATTAGTAAAAACTTGCGCCGCGAAGTTTTGGTGCAATTAAGCACCAAATATAGAACGGAAGGATGGTTGCTCTTAGCATATTCAACGCAATTATTAAAAAACATCAAACTGCTTGACTTTATTAAGAAGAAGATATTAAAACTGATCAAATGGAATTTGTTTTTTTTCTAAATTTAATTTTGACTTCAAAGTACAAAGCTTAATTCTGCGGAGTGAATAGTCACCTACTTCTCCCTTAATTGGACTATTTTTTTTACTCGACTGCTCACGAATGTTATGCCGGATAAATACTTGACGCATGCACGTTTCCGTGCGGCACGACTTCGCAAGTATGTTTATGATCAATCACGAGACCCCCCCTCGTCCCCCTCTCGCGGATGGAACCTGCGGTTTTGACGTTTATACGGGATGCGTGAGGGAGGCCACGCTGAGACCGAGCAAGGACGCGAGCATCGATTCCGACCTAACAACCAGCCCCAGCCCCGCCTAACTCACCCTCGCCTTCTCAGGCTTCTCGGCTTTCGAACGGCAGCCCACGAGTGTTCCCTTTGCTGCCGAATTCTCGCGGTCGCCCGATCACGAATGCTACGCGAGCTTGTGTAAACCGCGGTATTAGGGTCCGTCGCGCCCCTCGCACAGAAAAGTAAACTTGAGATATCAGCGGAGCTTTGAATTCATGAATTCAGCTAAGAAGCAAGAAGTTGTGGGTGAGCGAAGTTTGAGTACACAGAGAAATAAATCAGAGCGTTCTAATTCTGAAAGAGCAATACCTAACCGCAATATTGCGAAGTAAAAACTGTCAAGTGAAATATCGCTAATGAAAATTAAATATTATATCAATTATTCATTAAAATATAACAAAGTCAAACATTACATAAATCATCGTTTTTAAACAAACTGCCGACAAATTTGTCAAATTTAATTAGTCGGAAATCGAAAAGCTGAAAATGATTGTATTTATTATGCGTAATAATAATTTCTAGCATAAATGACGATTTATTTATAAACAAATTCGATTTTGCTTAAAATCGCCAATAAAATTGAGGAAAAAAATAGTGAAGATAAATAAAAACGCGAAGCAACGTTCCTCATTAGTGGACGAAATATTTCACACATTTTTTTCCCTTCCAGAAACTTGAGCAAGACGATGACGACGAGTATCTCAACTCCCCCTGGGCCGACAGCAGCAGTCTGAAGCGACACTTTCAAGGTCTGAATAATATCTCGTGGAGACCACACTAAGCGATTTCCATCGCGTCCGTAAAAAGGCAGAATGTTACGGTGGCCGAAGAAGCTTTATTGACCGAGGAAGAGCCACGTTATCTTTCTCTCTCAGGATCGACTTATAAAAATCCACCTTTGCGATTTCATTCGGAGTGAACCAGAGGCATACTCGGTTACTCGAGTAAACTCGAATCGTACGCGAATAGACGATGATTAAAGGGAACGCTGACAAATCTGCCATTCTCTTATCGTAAATCTGTCCCCGTAAAAGCGCCGATTATAATCCACAGATGTTACGACGAGATATTTTGCGACAGACTTTTTTCCTACTCGATAATAGCTCAACTACGAAGTCGCGCGTGTTGATAATTCTGTCATCCGCTCGTACCCGAGATCAGTCCTTCGAATGCGGAATCCCAAGTGCGATGCTCGTATTATGCGCCAGAAAAGCTCCTCGTTTCTTGCAAACGTTCAAACGTTGGCACGCGGCCGCCGTTATTCCGCGCGCCGATTTGATTTACCTCGCACGATGCCTTCTTCTTGTCTAAGTGCGACTACTCGTGGTCCGATATCAATTCGCGAATCTCGTGCCTGTATATCGCATTTCGCAAACACGAAGTATCTGTCCTTACGTCGTATACAAGCGTTCACTGTATATTTTTGAACGATTTTCAATGTATCGCGGCGGCAGGTGATCGTCCTGCGTAGAGAGGAAGTAAATCCATCATTTTGAAAGCCACGTGAGTCCTGAATTTGCGCTATATTTTTGAATTGAAAAATTTCAACGTCAAACGTAAAGAATAAGCTTGGTTATAAATCTTTGTCGAGTCAAATTCAGAATTCTTGTTATACAAACAACAGATCCTTTTGTAATACATTTTTCATTAACGAATTTGATTGCCGACGTCAACGGACTCGTGTTTTCAAAACGATCGATATGAATTCGTGCAACGAAGCGCACACCGAGTAAACGCACCCTCTGGTTCACTCAACGATACCGAGCGGATATATTCCATTCGAGGAACGCAGAGGAAGGGAAAAGCGCGAGGCGAGGCTCGACTCGCGGCATCACGCTATCTATATATTAAAAGTCACGAGTTCTAAGGACTAAAAAACTTAATCAGTAAAATTAATGAGCTAAATACCGCTAACGTTACGAATATTATCAGGTAATTCGCTTGCTGTGTGATCATGATGCGTCCACTCACGTGCATCGTAGAACACTTTTATCAGACACCGACGACACTAAACGTCCGTTTCACTCCTCTAAACCGGCGACACGCTTTCGCAAGCAGAAAAAAAAAAACGAACGCGAGATTTTCGCAAGAGTCCACCACCCCGCACCCCGGTTGCGGCCTCGTCCATATACTACGATCTCCACACGCACAAATTCCAACGTTTTTTCAGGTACCTGACTGACACACACGCTCGAAGGAAACGTAGGTACCTTCGCGAGTCTCACTGCATATATGCGCGCTTAGATCAATACACGGGGCGAAGAAATATCCGCTACAACACGAGAGAGAGAGAGTGCTTCGACGAGTCGCAACTAAAATACGGTCTGTTGTCTTTAGTTGCGCTCACCTATTTTTTTTTTTTGTACTTCAACACGACGTATACTTTGCAGAAAGCGGGACGAGGAAACGAATGTTAGGAGCGTGACGAAGAGGCAGACCTATCGTCACTAAAAAAATTCTTTCCGTACCGATTGTATTCCGACGTTATATTTTTACAAGATGTTCGAAGCACTCCAATTGTTTGTAAGTTTAGATGAATATGTCTGTCAAAGGGCTAATATACGTATTCGAGCGCAGTTTTCTAAATCGTGTGACCTGGATATTAAGCATCAGTCGTAATGAGCTTCGTGCTACTCCTCAGACTTAAAAAGTACGGCTTGTCTTATTATCATCTTAATGTCAACCGTGAACGCGATTAGCTATACGTTATGATTTTGTAAAGTGTTAACGTCGCCTGGAATATCGACCAAACGTTTGCCGCATGGAAACTATCCCTTGGAACACTCGAGTAATACTTCAAGACGTCTGAGTGTCTAATCCTAGCGTTTGTATCGAAACTTCGAGCACTTTGCTCAAAGCGAATAAATTATTTGCAATCCCTTACGAACACTTGGAGCCTTTACCATTTGAAAAGATTGGCGTTCCATGTGGCATTAAAGGGGGCGAAATGTAGAAAAAATATCATATTAACTATCGCTCGATTCACGTTTTCGGAATTCGTGCTATTCCTGCGATCATCACACACAGAGCAACATGCATACACATACACGACACACACCGTCACGAAAGGCACATTTTACATACATTGGTAATCTATGGGAAAAAAAGATAATTGAATTGTTTTTATGGATTAAGAACAAGTTGTCTGTGATCTACAATAATTAAAAGAATATTTAATAAGTATTAACAGATAAAAGTATAATTGAGATAATGTTGAACGATGGAGGAAAGAAATAATCGAAGGACGATCGGATTTTATTGGTACAAGTTGAGCGCAGATTTCCCGAGGCATTGGTAGAGCAATACGATAGCGAAAGGGAGGAATAAAATATCGCATAAAAATTAAAAAGTCACCGCAAAGGAATTCTAGAAGAAAAAAAAAAGAGGTATATTATATATAATTATAACAAAATAGAGACTTATTATATGATAGAGCACGCAACGTCTGAACATTTAAATCGCTGCTGTTAATCTGCAAACTAACTCGCGATATAAAAACGAAGATGCGTGCTGCGTTCGGATAGTACCAATAAAAAAAAAAAATATATGGATATATTACATAGCACTTGACCGTCGCGGCTAAAAGTATATAGGATTAGATAGATTTATAGAAGCGCAAAACACCAAAAATCGTTCCTTCCACCCGCTCCGGCCGTGTATTCGATTATCGATTTTAAATATATCGCATCTCATATGTGAAGTCAAAGCTCTGTGAATTTGTAAAAGCGCACCTCAGAACGCAATTAGCATCGTCATTTTACTAAATGAAAAGGAAACACAAAAAAGGAACTATATATATATAAAAAAAAAATAGCCGTACCATCACTAAATAATGAGTTATTCAACGAGTGTTGTCGCAAAGATGTTCGAGATAATTTTTGTACAGTTTCTGGCACACACGAGAAGAACGTGCAACATCGTCGTCTTTATATTTATGTACATTTCAATTATTATAAATTTTTCGATATTATTATCGAACTATGATCGATTTCGTGTGAAAGTGTATATGGCTTTTTCTGCGGTTAACAATAAAATGTTGTCAAAGCTTTTTTCACGAGATATATATTTTATTAGATTTTTCTTACGCCTTTATCTCACCTTGCATTTATCCTTAATATCCCCATTTCTCAATTTTTTACAATTTATATATATTTGTTAGATAATTACTCAATGAAACAAATTATAAACATTATTTCAAGAGAATGTGTTTATTAAAATATATAAAAAATCAGTACGTATATAAATAGTTAAAAAAATATTTTATGGATATTTAAAGTTTCTTTCGTTGGCCGCACTACAGGATTCTATGTGACTGTGTTTACCGCACACATCAAAATTTCTGTAACAAATAGAACAGAATTGATTACTTGTGGTGTATAAATACTCATAATAAAAACTAATATTAAAATGTCATATAAATCAGTATGTGAACGAATGCTTTTGTCATCTTTCATTCAGGACTCTAGCCAATAATTCATCAGTTTGTTGTCGATGTAGAATTTATGAAATATCTATTTATTTTTCTCTACAATATCGTATATTAATTAAAATTAATCCTTTTTATTTGAAAATTTAGACGACTAGCGAAAAATATAGTTCAAGACTTGCTTCAAACGTTGAAAAACGGTACACGTTGGGATTAAGAGTTTGACATCAGGTTTCAGCCCCGAAAGAGTATCATCACTCGCAAAGTCTTGATAACATTTGATGTAAATAAACTAACTTGTTGCAATTTTCTTCGCTCAAATTTTTTTATTATTTAACTTTAATAAATAACAAGTAATTTACCTGTCTAATTGATCGGTGAAAAGTATCCTTGAGCACCTTGTAATCGACATAAGGTTTCGCGGCCCTGCGCATTAAAAACGTACTGATAAAGAATAATGTGATAACATGATCGATTAATTAGTAAAATACAGTTTAAGACTTGCTTCAGATAAAAAATGGTACACGTTGGAATTAGTTTGACATCAGGCTTCAGCCCCGAAAGAGTATCATCATTTGCAGTCTTAATAATATTTATAAATAGACTAACTTGCAAATTTGTCAAATTTTTTATTATTTAATAGCAATTTATTTGTTTATTAATATTTTAAAAAATATTTGTATTTAAATATTTTAATTTTTTCTACAAAGTGGAAGGTTTAATATATGTTAATAGATGATAAATAATTTACCTGTCTGTTAACTTGTCGATAAAAAGTATCCTTGAGCACCTTGTAGTCGACGTCAGACTTCAGCTCTGCACATTAAAAACGTATTAATAAATAATGTGACACAAACATGATTAATTAGTTAGCAAAATATGGTTTTAAGACTTGCTTCAGATAAAAAATGGTACACGTTGGAATTAGATTTTGACATCATGTCTTTCAGTCCCGAAAGATAATCATCATATGCAGTCTTGATAATATTTTACGTCAATAATGACAACATAAAATTATAACATTAAATATTACTTGAGTGTTGTGCAAATATAACGTACGTTACGGCATTGAAATAGCGCACGTGTATCTTTTAAATATTTCTACTAAATTTTGATATTCTCACCTCGAAAATACAGTTGCCTTCCTGTGTCGCTTCAGTTTGCTTTACCTCTTCTTCATCACGGATCTTCCTTTAATACATAAATAGAAAAAATAATTAAATAAAAAGATTAAAAATATTGTATGTCATCATGTGCAAATGTCTCGATTAACTACTCAGCACACGTTAGGATAATTAGAATCATTGGAATCATTCATAAAATTTATCATCATTACAAACGAATTAGTATGAAAAATATAGTAAAAAAATAAAATAAAGAGATATATTTAAAAAATTCTACAAACCTTAAACACATAAAGTTGTTGCTTCATGTAATGTTGTAAGGCATGAGCGTCGTTTCAAGACATCAGACTGTAAATTACAAGAATATCAAGATTATTATAAAGCACAAAAAATATTTATCAATATCAAAAGAGTCAACAAGCAATTTTAGTAATCAATACATTTGGATAATTTTTTATCTCCAATCTTCAGAATGAATAATTTATATCAAGAAAATCTTATTTAAAAAATCAATTAATGATATAGCAAAAGATACAAAGTACATATTTAGACTTTGTAATGTATACTTCAAGCTAATTAAACACGTTGACTGTCACACTGAAATCTGATATGATTTCTGTAGAACCAAAATATTCATGAACTGTCGTGCGTCGCGTTTCGTTATCGTATATACAATAAATAATAACAGAATCCCTTAATGTAATATTTTCTTTGCCACTATCTCCAACAAAACAAATGACAAACGTTTATTATTTATTGAAAAGAGTATCTTAATAGCTATCTAATTTTTTTATAATGTCAAAGAAAAAAAATAGAATCGTGTCAGTAATGAAAACAGCAGACACCGATAATACATCGTTACTGTTAAGCATTTCTGTAAGCAAAAACTTGATAAAATTTTTCTATAACAGCTAAGTAAAACCAACAACAAATGGATGACGTGGATCTTGCGGAAACTTGCACGTCACTCATATCTGGATGACGCGGCAATCAACGTGTTAAATGAGCGATGTGTTGTTAAAAAAATTGGGAAGTACCTATATTTCTGATTGCTCTGATCCTTTTTGTTCAACCAGCTAGTGCGCTAATCTGAAAGCACATAATATATCATTAATATTGTAATTGTTAAAGATATCACCTTCATATGATTCTGTTTCTAAAGAATTTCATATCTACGTACAATTTATAAACATAATACAGTTTATAAACATAAAATATGTATTGCTTAGTAAACACAGACAGAGTAATTAATTACTTAGACATATTTTACTTTCGAAGTTTAATGTAAGCGTCACTTTACGTAATATAACGACGATATGTGATTAAAAGCATCGTTTTTAAGTGTCTTAAATAAGTTTCTAAATATGTGTATGACTTTTTCGACGTGTTCCCATAGTATACTGACCCAGAAAGTCGGTATGAAAGAAGCAACAAAACATTTTGAGATGGTAGAAAATAAGGTATAGTCAATAATATATAAATTACGTCAAACTATAAACATTGATAATCTTAAACTATCATAAACTATACTACTCATAAAAAATCCGTTACGCCTACGATATATAAAATTTACAAGATAAATTTCTAATTTACTCCAAATAATTTTGTTTTATTAAGAAACCAAAATTTTTTATGCAGTTTGATATCTTCGTGTTGAATTTCTAATGCTGCAATAAAACGAAAATATACCTATATAAAAGTTTCGAAATTTTCAAAACATTTCGCATTATTTCATTATTCGCATCTTCTATGAGGAAGTAACATTGATTCCTTTTATAGCTTAAGAAAAGAAATGAATATTGGTCATATATCATCTTTGATGCTTACATGTCTAAGATACGATTTTGAAGAAATCGTAATGCATCGGGAAGAGTGATATAAAAAATTTTTGTAATATTTCTAAACTTTCTCGAGCACATTCTCTTTTCTTAGAACTGTAATAATGCCGCGTCGTATTATAAGAATTAGTGAGTGAGACACATCTGCCTTTTAATTTTATGAATCATATCTGCACGTGTGGTAAAAATATTTCGTTTCCTGTAAAATTATTTTAGTTGACGCCCATTTATTTATTTCACGAAATTGTTTTCACGAAATTGTTTTCACGAAATAATTATATCGTCTGTATAAGATCGTCTATCAGAATTGATATAAAAAATTCACCGTAAATATTCCCTGCCACTAAAAGTGACACAGTAAAAATTTGTTAACTCAGTACTTAATTGATTATCTATGTAGATCACAGCCTAGATTTTAACAGCTAGACCTAGACAACCCTTTGTTAAAGAACGCGTCCAGATATTGTGGTTGTCACAGGTGAAAAGATGTTCTAGGCTGCTAAAGCTTAACTCATCACATAATTATTTAGAATAAGATTTATAATATCTTTCTTAAGCAAGTCGGGGCCAAAAGCATTTACCAAATATAGTAATTCATTTCAATAATATTAGTTGCACGTTTGTTATCTCACAGTAAATTCAAATCAATTTTATCAGGTCTCTGGACCTTATCAGCAAACGTTACAAAGTAATCCTCAGTTTTGCTCGCACAATACACAGTGCAACGCTCTAAAAATGACACAATTAATAATTATTTATAAACTAAGGACTAATGATTTATGTACAGCTCATATCGAGTGGTCGATTAACGATCACTTTGTAATTTTTGCTAATGTTCGACATCCCACCCGAAGATTAAAATAAGATTATGCATAATAACAGTTTTACAAAATCTACTCACCTCGTTAACAGGTAGTTCATTGACTAGCAGTTTCGAGTAAGTAAGCCTATCTTGTCATTGCAGTCTCTTCTTCGTTAAAAGACTCTTGATTAATTACATTCAGTTCTAAATGAATATTATGTCGCTATTAAGCACTGGAACGTGGAAGATTCTTCAAGATACAAATTACTGTTTTTCCTCATTCTTAGGTCAAGGCAATATACGAAACTGTCGTATATTGTGACGAGTAATAGAATGAGCATAACGTTGATACAAGATTTTTTAACTGTAGATATCGTATAATAATGCAGTTATGTATTTTTGCGTTATGAAGAACATGTCTCTCTGTTTTTCACACCCATTGTATAAAAAAAAAATAAAGACGTCAGTTATTAGATTGTAATAATCAGGTGTATACATTTTTAATTGTACATTCTAAAATCACTTTTATAAACCTCATCTCAAAAGATTCAGTCACCTATTAGAAAATTTGTTTTTAAGAGAACTTCAGATATTATAGAATATATTTCCATCCATATTTTATAGCATTTTTTAATTGTTGAATAGTTCCACAACGCGCATATCGCCCTATTAATGTAATCAGAAATTACAAGAAGAACCTGTTCAAAATAGCATAAAAAATAGTATACAAGATATAATAATAACCAATTATTACATAAATGTTTTTGAAGAAGAATAAATAATTATAAGTCATCGAAACAGTTAATACCGCAAATTGTTATATAAAAAGAGATTTGAAAAAAAATTAAAAAAAAAATAAAAAAGATCGTAAAACGAAAATGTCAAACCTTTCCTATGTAGAAGATATAGAAAATCGTTGAACTGAAAGCAAAATTACAATCATCAGATATTTTACGTAACATGAAAAAATGTGATCTATATTTCAAGATCTATAATCCAGCTATGTACGCTATTTATGAAAGATAGAATAATAGATATCAGTCAGTAACCAAGATATATAAGCTTTTATTATATACCTTTATTTTTTTTTTTTAATTCACGCTTCCGTTGATTAAGATTCTTCACAAAGTATTGAATATTATATATCTGCAGATAATACTCTGCGTGTATATCTATATATGTATAATACCTTATACTAAAATAATTATTGATGAATATCATTTAAGAAATGACAGATTTTGCATTATGTGTATCATGATGCAATCATCATGCTCGATACATCTACATGACGACATAATATTAATATTTTCAGGGTAAAGCAAGTGTATTAGTGCGAATCTTGTTTGGAAACGTTAAAGTTCATTCCAGTCATACGTCTGTCGTCGCTTATACAAAAAATGATCTATTATCCTACTATTATCTTTATAATCTAGATAAAATACAAAATAAAGTGAAGTAACCTAATTTCGTGTTAAGAAAGTGAATCAATGTAAGTCAAGCTTTTAGCCAAAAAAATAATTGATGTCATTGTACATATGTAGAGTAGGTGATTCAAATAAAATATTGGTGTTGAAAAAAGGGCAATGTCATGAGAGAGAAAAAATTATACTCTATTATTTGATTATTTACACCTTCCAAGATCTTTAAATAAATAATCACTTTCAATCTTATTTTCATATTTATATATCATCATATGTTAGCTTCATGAAAAGACTCGAGTTTGTGACAATTTTATATTTCACACTTATGATATGGTGAACTTTTGGAATTTACACTTTGAAATTCTTATTTCACGCACTTAAGCGGCGCCGTTTTTCTACTACTTCACATTTTCCTGACTTTAGGATGATGTTAAAGCGAGAAAGCGAGTGAAAAACAGAACAGTACAGGAGTGCGTGAAAATGAAAGATCGAAAGTGCAAAAATAAGAGTCTACGCAAAATCACATAAGTGAAATTTTGTTTATGTATCATAAATACGAGATACATTAATCATGACTCAAATTTATCATGATTTCCAAGCCACGACAAGTTTTCAAGTTCATTGGAGATTGGGCTGTAGAATAAATTGTGTCTAATAAAATTTAATAAGTATATGCTAAATATTATACTTTTCAATTGAAGATATTGTGCATAGATTTCAGAATAGAAGTAGCGGTTCAAAGCAGATTTCTAAAACACATATCAAGTGATGGCATTAATCCTCTTAACATCAATATTGTTAATTGATATTCAATCGGAGTACATGCACTACCGGAGAAGAAATGTCATCCGAAGGACACATTTGTCAAAGTATCAAAACGCTATCGCATCTAATGTCAAATTCTCACATGTTCTCGTTTATTCGCAGTCGAATTTCGCAAACCAATACATTAATACCAGTCGATGTCCGACATTATTTTCGTAAATCATATCCTCTCAACTACTCCTCCATTTCCTCTTTGGTTATCCAGATAGACAAAGTGATATTAAAAGTGAGGAATGAATGAAGGATATAGTACGATTTGCAGAATGATCTCAAATGAAATCAATGGAATAAGTTATCGATATTGCGCTTTAATATCGTCGTCGTTTGTTAGGATAATCGTCCGGGCGATTACGGTCGTTTCCTTGCCAACGTCCACTGCCACCACTACCTCCGCGATTACCACCCATATTACCCATCTCAACTCTCATATCCATTAAATCCATTATCTGCCCGCGATCATCGTTATAACCCCCGCGATTACCGCGATCCATATTGTTGTATGCATCCATAAAGGATTTCGAATCCTACGGGAATACGCAGAGAATGCGAAATCGTATGGGAAAGTCGAGTTTTGTTGGATGAGAATGTCGTTCGCATCAGAAGAACACACGATACGCGTGTGCGCGTGATTTGCGGATGTACCGTAAGTACATTTTGTACAGTTTCAGGGCGACCATCCATGTTTGACAGCAGCAGGTCATCGTCAATTTTCGTGAAATCACATAGAAAAGAAAGGGGAAAACACAATGTTAGATTGCTGTTTCTGCATTAATAGCAGCAAACTGCGCTTAAATACAGGTCTAATTAATATAGTATTTTTTTTTTTTTTTTGTACACGTTCTGTGACATCAAGTATTATTAAACCAAGAGAATGCCCAACGCAGACAAGACAATACTTCCGTTATATGCCAGTATCAGTTTACGCGGAACTTCTTCTCGTATAATTTTTTTTCTTAATCATGACTTCAACTCCGAAAGTAAAAGCTCAAAGATTTCGCATTTTCAATGTGTAAAATGTAATCGCGAAGCAAAATATTGTGTTGGCAAATTGAGTTTTAAATTAGAGTTGAAGTGTGATTAAGAAAGGCGAATCAATCAATTTTGGTAAATTGATATGGGAATTATTACTTTGGTAATAATGTAATCGATCTTGATATTCAAGAGAGATATCCCTAAAAATTGGATAATGGCAAGATCTATCGCCTATCTATCTAGCATTTTACATATCGCATAGGGACAAGCAGAAATTGTCTACGTTTCTTGTCTGTAGACGTGACATAGTACAAACGCCATTGTTTGTACGCCTATGTTTTGTAATAATTAACCTAAATGAAATTTTTGTGAAAATTTCCCAACCCCAACAATATGACTAATAGAGAATAATCAGAGTAATAAAGACCTAAGAAACAATAAGTGCACATAAATATCTCAGAATAAAATCGGTTAATCCAGTTAATCGTGTGACGAATCACACATTTCACACACGTTAGGAAAAGCTGAAGATAACTTTTGGTCGCTTAATAGTAAAGTGATTTGACACACTTGCACAATTTTGAAGCTCCGAGCATAAAGGCAAGCAGCAAAGAGGCGTGATCAAGGTCTCTAAGCAAACTCTTTTCCCAGTAATGCTCGTCCTTCAAAGATGTATCGTGTCGTAAGTCAGCGTAAAGCGTTCCTGTAATAAGCATACAATAAAATGGACATTAGTATCCCGCGAACAGTATGCTTCGTATAAACATTCGAGAACTAATAAAGTTTAAAATAAATCAATAAAATTCTCAGATTGATCTATATGTAAATTCTACGAAGATATCTACACGCATTCAAGGATCAAATCTCCTTGGAAATATTTTTGTAGACGATATCTTGATGTAACTATTTTCTATTGGAGAAAAGTCTAGTTGGGCATTTCTTGGTCAATACATATTACTGTGGAACCATGTTGTTCGAGAAAACCTTTTGTCGTTATATAATTTTAATCTGTTACACAAGGCATTATGTAAGCGCCGTGATACAAGATTGTGAATATCTCAGGTTCCATAGTAAACGAATCTTAATGCTACTACAGAATAATAGGCCACAGAGTCTCCTGTCTGCAACCATGTGGAGAGACCAATGTGGCAATTATATTCACAGATCTAAAATAATCGTTTTCAGAAAGATGTACATCACAAAGATAAGCCACATGTGGCCTAATCTTATAATTTCGAATGATCAAAAATCACCTGAAATAAGTTTTCTGTCTAATATCCTAATTATATTAATCGGTATGCGAAACCTGTTAAGTAAATTTTATTCGTTTGTCACGAGATCAATTAACGATGATGATTAATTTATCGCCGCTATCTCTAGCTGCGATATTCTGTAGCAAGAAGAGCAGTAGAATGTTTTTGTTTTAATTAACGTTACAATTCATTAATTTGCCCCTATTTGATGATTGCAATAAAATTTAGATATTGCGCTATTCGCAAACGCACCCATATTTATTATAAAGTCAGAAGCTTGAGAAAATTTTCATTGTAAAGTTATTGGTGTCAGCACTTTCGAGGGAAGATTTCGTGCCATAATAAGAGCAGTAAGATATGTAAATTCAAATATTTGTGCATCTTAATATCAGATGCAAAACGAAATAATCATACCTATCGTCAGTAGAAATATGTTAGTTAGATATAGCAGTAGCTATATAATCGTTTACAGATCTTTACACATGGCAATGCTGGTTAACGAAGATCATTCTAAATATAACTAAAGTCAGTGCTAGTGTCGACACTCAACGTAACACTGAAGAGTGTCGTTTTTCACATTGGGCAAGTATGTTACTATGCGCATCATTGATTCCTCCACATGTTATAACTATCGGAAATAGATTTTTGATACTTTCTTACAAGATCAATTAAAAGCAAGATAATGAAGACAATTTGTTGATTTTGCAGACATTAGAACTCTGTTTATATTGAAGAGCATGCTCAACTGGGGATAAAATAGGGTTTACAAACCCTCCTAATTTAACTTTATGGTGTTTTTTATACACCACAGAAACAATTGCATTTTATCATGCATGACGCAATATTCCACTCATTGTAATGAATGAAGTTTGCGTAAAACGCATGAAAATATGTTTCGAAAAATTGTACCGCCCGAGAATGAAAAAAAGGAATGTCCATAGAAAAAAATCAAATGTTGCGAGAAAAAACAACTTAATGCTGTAATGTAAATTAGAGAAGAAAATAGTAAATAAAAAGAATACGTTACCACTGGCATGCCGCTTCCGCCTGTAAAAAAATAAAACAAATACATTGTTAAAAACTACGATAATACTGACAAATTGCTGCAAATGATAAATTGCTATTTAGTTGAACTGAACCAACACAATAATTTGTTATTTTTTTTTAACTTTTTAAATCAATATATTTTTCTTTTTTCAATGATCTTGTGTTTCACTTTTCAGCACACAACCGATTATGCAACTAATCGGCCATGTTTCCTATAAGAAACTACACTTTTCTATTCCCCTGCACATTTATTATTAGGCACTTGGTGATTAGAATTCATCAAACAAGCGTGGCTTCGGGGTTTTGTCAAAAAACTATCAACACATTTATAGTTTGCACGTAGAGAAGTTATAACTATATACAATAGCTAATAAAAATAAAATTAATAATTTAATTTAATTAAACATCTCTAGAGTAGTCAACTTTTCATTTTATTTTTTTCTCAAAAGCTCAGTACTTACCATCAGGTTGACCATATCCATCGCGGTCATTGTTACTGACAGAATCGTAATTTTTTCCACCACCGCTACGAATTGCCTGCTCCTTGAATAAAAAAAGATGCAATTATAAATATTTGTTAATAATCGAAATATTAAATTCATTTTCAGTGTAAAAAAAAATGCAGAATGGAGCATTTAAAAAATAAAACAATTTTGCCACTCAATCTTACCTGCATAAACAAGTTATTTTCCTGTTGACGCCTGTGTAATTCCTCTTCCTGTCTCCTGATGCGCATCGCCATTTCTTCCTGCTGACGCCGTCTCAATTCTTCTTCGCGAGTCCTCTGCTCTTCGGCCTGTCGCTCTTTCATCTCCCATTCTCTCTTCTGCCTTTCACGATCCGCCTCGCGCATACGCAGTTCTGCGATGAAGATACAATCGTTTATATAATTGTAAGAAAAGTGTTTTTTACGCAATAATATCCAAATACTCACGTTCTCTCAGAAGTTCCGTCTCATGTTCGTATCTGGCAAATTCCATTTGGGCCTCCAATTTTTCTTCTTCCATTGCCATTTCTCGTTTAAGAGCCTCTTCCTTCTGTTTGTATAATTCGTGTAACTGCTTCCATCTTGTACCGTATTCATGCTCGAAGCTACCTATTTGTGCGAAGCGTGGTCCAATGTCACGAGCTTTGAAGAACTCCGGATTCTTGCGTGGCAAATTCTTATCAGGATAGCCATCCACGTCATCTTGTTGCTCAAATGGTTCCACAACTACTGGTCTAAGTGAACTGAACCAACACAATAATTTATGTTATTTTTCTTTTTACTTTTTATATCAATATATTTTTCTTTTTTTCAATAATCTTGTGTTTCACTTTTCAGCACACAACCGATTATGGAACTAATCGATCATGTTTCCTATAAGAAACTACACTTTTTTATTCCCCAACATTTATTATTAGGCACTTGGTGATTAGAATACATCAACCAAGCGTGGCTGCGGGGCATTTTGTCAAAAAATTTGTCAAAAATTTTATTAACTTACGCAGTAATGAAGTAACAACCCTCTGTACATTTTCTTAAAGCCAGCTGAGCAGACGGTTTCCGACAAAATTCGACGATACCTTCCCCAGTGCTTTTACCTCTCTCGTCAACTTTGACAATAGCGCGTTCGATTTCACCAAACACACTAAAGGCTCTCTCGAGAAGCTCGTTAGATGTCCATGGGGTGAGATTCTTTATTTTTATCGTCGATGAATGAGGAGCAAAGCGTACTTTCAATGCACGACCTTTGCGCATCGTACCATCTAGTTCACGCTTTGCTGCTTCAGCATTTGCCTTATAATCCTGAAGCAAAAAAAAAAATTATTTTTTTACATGCAATTATAAAATATATAACATCTTAATAATAATCATGTAATCATTTCAAAATTATACAGCCAAACATTCTTATCATTATATGTCAAACGGTAATTTTTATAATCATCTTATATTAAAAAAAAAAATTTTATATTATCATTGTTATTTAATCATTAAACAGTCTTATATGGTTTGTAATTACCATTCTGAGGAAGGCGAAGCTTTTCTCTTTGTTCACAAACAGCTCGGATATTTCTCCATATTTTTGAAACATGGTTTGTATTTCTTCCTCACTTACATCATTTGTCAAATTTCCAATATATAAGCGATTTCTGCCACTAAACTTCTTTTCTGTTGTGTCCTGTAAAGGCAGTTCATGGGTAGGACCACTGATGGCCATAATGCGTTCCATCAATCGATCCTAGAAATATCAAAGTTTAATATAGCAGCTATTTTGATAACAGATCAAAGTCGTAAAAAAATAAAAAAATATATATTTACATCTTGTGATCTGTTGGGCATACTTCTATCGCCACCGCCACGACCTCCTCTTCCTCCTCCACGCATTCCGCCACCACGATTCATGCCCATGCCACCACCTCCCATTCCACCTCCTCCCATTCCGCCACCCATGCCTTCAGACATTGGGTTATCCATGCCACCATCCATAGAATCACCCATTTTCATCTGTAAAAAATAATTACAATTACTTTAATGTGCAATATTATAAATATATGTACTATAGAACCTCAACATTTCTTCTCTTGTGTTGTTTTTGCAATATCTATTTATTGTAACACATAAGTACGTTAAAACATATACTCTTTTTTCATATTTGATATATTTTTGCATTATAGTGACTTTTAATGTTTATTGTGTGACCACGTGGACATATTAGTATACTTCTTTTCGTATCTAATACAATTTTTCATTAAGGGAACTTTTAATATCATATAACATGGATATGTTAGAATGTATACTTCTTTTCATATTTCATATATTTGTTCACTTTAGCAACTTTTAATATTTTATTATTGTGTGATCATGTGGACACGTTAGAATACATATTTCTTTATGTATTTAATATAATTTTTCACTACGGCAATTCTTAATATTTATTACATGACCATGTGGACATGTTAAAATACAAAATTTCTTTTCATATTTGCTACATTTTTTCACTACGGCAATTTTTAATACAAGTTTAAATTTTTTAATTTATTATTTGCATATTTAATTATTTAAACAATATTAATGTAACATAAATTAAGATTAAATTATTCTATGTACAAATTTGTATAAAAATTATATCATCCCCATTTAATAATAAAGAGAAAAAAAAATTATGTATATCTCAGATCCTGATATGCATTTGTACCGTGAGAATTTAAGAGACCACCATTCTGCGCACAAAGGCGCCATTTTACCTAAGTCTTCTAATTGCAGAAACTTTCTTTTAATTGCTCAACATTATCGGATTTAATAGCCCAACACTATCGCATACAGAAGCATGCAAATCATGAATACATTATTTTTGTTTTATAAGAACCGTATATTTTATTGTAAAAAACGCAGTAATCTCACGCGAATTTCTAAATTTTGCATTGTTCTCACTATCATAAATATATACATGAAAATACTATCTTAGTAACTGCTTTGAGCACGTGTCGAAAATAGAACCATTTCATAATCTACGATTAAACATCGACCAAGGCATGAACACAGCCGGTTCGTAGAATCAAGTCTTATTCATCGATAAAACATGGCGCCGGAATGACGCGGCTACATCCTGAGCAATTTCCAAGCCGAACTCCAAGTTTAGTTTAAAATTTCTAAAATTTAAAAATATACTAAAAAAATTACCGCTTCATTGTTTCTTCCGCCGCCGCCTCCAATGCCGCCCATTCCGCCGCCGCGGTTTCCTGAAAATCGTGTTCCACCTTTTCGGCCGCGAGGTCCACGATTACCGCCGCCCGGCGGATTACGATCGCGTGGATTCTCATTGCTATTTTCAACTGGTGCACTCGTCGTCTCTGATTTCACGTTCGGAGTCTCCGTTCCAGCCATGGTCGTCCGAGCACGTTGCTCAGCGTATGGTCGTATTGCACGCCGCGAGAAAAACTTGGCTTTCCCTGCGACGAAGATTTTTTACGTTGCACCGTTCCGCGTTCCAAGGAACCGTTCACTATGGCGTCCGACAACGAAAGAGGCCGACGAGAGGAATCACGATGGTAATATGGCCACTTCCTCCTCCACAATTTCGGTCGCGATGCATTATGGGACGCTGAACTTGGCGACGGGATTGGTTGATTGTCGTCGAGACGCTTGGCGATTGCTGGAGGCATTCAATTGCAGGGTTACCAATTTTCCAACAGCGGATGTTATTAACTAAGATAGTACGCTTATTATTGCAGATTGCAACCGACAGGCGTCGCCACGTATAGCAAATGTGGCTCTACCTGTGAGAAAGTCATATCTATATGTATACAATGGTGAAGGCTGTTTATTTACGTTTTCATAATAATTTTGATAGTTATTTGGCTGAATTGAAATATGACATCTTGTATACAAGGTATTTATAGTTTTTATACTTTGCCAATAATTCAATTGCCAACATCGTGTACATTATTATAAAACATTCATAAAATCATTTATTTTAATATAAAATTTTAATGAATATGAATATATATTGTTATAATTATATTTGACTTAGGTTTGCTTTGACCATTTGATACTTAATTGTAATAATAAAGAATATTAGAATTTTTTGTTCTGTTAACTAGAAAAACATATTTTTTAAAGTATAAAATAGAAATAGCTTATAGTTGAAAAAAATATTTTTAGCGTTTTTTTAGTTCAATACGGAGATATTTAATTAAAAAATTGATATTAATTATTTATTAAAAAATAATTTAATATATACAAAAAAAATGTTATATATCAGGATATTTATATAAAATTTATTATTGTATCATAAAACTTGGAAATTTAAAACGTACATATTGCTCAACATGAGATATGAGTGTGAGATTTAATGTATAAATTTTGATAATGAAATCTGTATATTGACTGATGCGATGTACATTGATCTTTAAAGTTCTTATCAGGTAATGGCACTATATAGGTATGACCTAATGTTTCCGATTTATCGCTTGAATTACAAAGCTTGGGCTCAACCATACAAATGCGATCGCAATCTGGAAGAAAAGCACGGGCCTAGCGTTATAATAAATTCCGGTGCGGTCGTCTACGTTTCAGGCATTCGTATCGCGATTTAAGTGGCGAATTAGGGTCGTAGTCGGTGATCTAGGACGATTGGTAACGTCGCGCTTTACTTTGTATAGTGGGCGATCGTTAGGCCCGCGATAGAGGCCTCGCGGGAATTGTGTAGTTTTGCCGTGACACACGTAACAATCAGGACGACTCTCTGGAGGAAAGTAGACTGTGTCCCAGCTGCCCGCAATGATTTCGAAAACAATCAGAATGTAACATTATGCAGTGTGCGATAAAATACTTTCGGGAGGTCTCTGAATGCGAGTAGAAACAGATAACATCAATACGAGCGATAAAACTAGTGACAATTTCTATCGCAATTTATATCACAGCGTAACAGATATTTTGCTTACGGTATATAAAAGAAAAATGTGTGCTTCAAAAAAGGAAATTCGCTAAATTATCCTTGTATTTCTTTGCAAATTGAAACTTGTTAAAAAAAAATCTTTCATACATCTTTTCCGACTCACAGTTTTATTTCCTAGATTAAGTCTCTCAACTTTACCAAACTTAGTTGTCCATCATATTTTACTTTCGTCCATCAAACGATTTTTAAAAGAGCTTAAAGTCATCATTTGTCCACACGCTGTGACGCGAAAGAACTAAGACTCCGAATAAAAAATTGGCTTCATTATAAGACGCAATTAAAAGATGATAATAGGAAGGCGAAAGAGGGAAAGGAAGAGACCGCGCGTTGAAGCACCGGTTCAGCACGATATATACGTAGTGTCCTAGATCTATTGAGTAGTATTTTCAAAGAATTTTCAATTAATTTGAAGTACTCATTTTTCTTTAAAACGATTATCGAAGTACCGATATTATTTGAGCCATAATTTATTGAGAGCAATTTCGTTTTTTTAATATTATCAAGCAAAAGCTCTATCTGTTATTTCATCCAAAATTGGATTTGAATTCGATAAAATTTTATTCTTTCTTTCTCTCTCTTTCTCTTTAAAGCTTAATTATTAAAATATTAAAATATTTTAAGTCTCTGCGGAAAAAGGCGATGGTGATGTTTTTCGACCGAAATTTACCGTTAAAATATTGACAACGATCGTACGATCAGTCAATTTTGCTAAAACACAAGTGCAATAAAATGTAAAAACCTTCTAGTGAAAGCATAGGCTTATTTTTCACAAAGTTATATCTCTTCATAGAATTCCAAAAATGGTATCAATGTCGATAAATTTTATTCGCTATTGAAATATTACATGGTGAGTTTGAGACACCCCGTGCAGAAGAGCGAAGGAAGCAAGGCGGGACAGGCAGGAGCGTAAACAAGGAGAATGCATCGCGGGGGTGGCACGACGGGGTACGAGGGCGAGGGGCTGCATCCGTCGCTCATGCGCGCCTAGAACCCCGCCCTGTCGCTTCGGACCACGGTCTGTCCTGTCGAGGACTCTTCGCCGAGGTGGTCGAATAGTCACGCTTTAACCCGCGATCCGCGAGGCGGACGGCACTCGCCAGAAACGCGCAAGTGCTCGTACGCGAGAGGAGGAGGCCCCCCGCGCAGAACATCTGTCGGTCCCATCCGTCGCGCTTGGCGAGCCTTCACCGAGAGACACGTTCTCCGATTCGCAGGATCGGACGGTGAGATCGTCGGTGATCCGGATCGCAGACGGCCGGTGTGCGTGTCTTATGTATCCAGGGAAGGATCAACGGATCGATTATCGGCCTCGCGACGGGCAGTCGCGCGACGGGGAATTTCAGGATCGACGCGCGACCGGTATCGATGCCGAGGCAACCCGCTGCGTGGCAACCAGTTGCGAATGTGAGCTCGGTGTCGAGTCGAGGAGGATCCGCCTTGAGTTAACCGCGAATGGTCCTTCGGTGTAAGGGGATTCGTTTATCAGGAGTCAGCCGGTGAAGGCTCGCATCACGGGTTCCGCATATTACGAGGGTGCGTCGAGTGCTTACTCTTTTCGGTAGACAGACGGTGGATCGATCTGGAGCGCGTGGCGGATCGTCAAGTGTTGCGACCCCGCTCTGCTGTTGATTGCGAAGCGGTGTAACGAAGCTCGCTGACGTATATACGAATGAGAAGCGCCTTCATTAAAGCGGAGAAAGAATATCGTTAAACAATTGTGGCTTCCTCTAGCATAATTATCGATCAATCTTAAGAATTCGCGTGCGACCGGTACACGTAGAGGATAGACACACACACACGGTCGCATCACGTCGACGCGGTTGTCACAAGTTTACAAACGCGATATCGAGCTCCTACGGCTCTCCGATATCCGTCGTTCAAATACCACAACGTGCGCCTTACTGAGATAGTCGAAGAAGAAAAAAACGAATCGCAAGCCTAACTTGGGATCAACGGTCTAACAATTTCAGCACGCGTGTTTTTTTTAACGCGCGAAAATCACAGCCTTCTCGAAGATATTCTTTTTAATGCGTGCGCGCGGAGCTGCGCGCATATTATTATCGAAATGCACGATTTGCTGCGAAACGGCAGCGGCTGAAAGGTCGTGATCGATCGGCTCAATTTGATAACCCGAAAGAACCTTAAAGCGTGCAAGGTCGTCATGTATAAGGCGATAAGGCGGAGACTGTCTACGGTTGAAAAGTGAAGGAGCAAAGTCGAGTGGCACTCGGAGGAGCCGTACGTGGCCTATCTGCGCGATGCTGAGATTTACAAGCACCCACTTGAACGAGACTCGAACTTGAAGATGATCGAATTCACCGATCTGTCCGCGTAATGTCGAGCCAAGGTCGACGCGGGAAGGTGTGTTTAGAGCTTGACGGAGCGCGCTGCATCGATCGCAAGATCGCCCCTCATGGTGTTCCTCGAGATTTCGGGAGAAAGCTCGCGACAATAGAGTTCGTTAGTGAAATAACCCGGAAGTCGTCCATCGAGAATATCGAATAACGCAAATTACATTTTCGTCGCAGATTACGTTTGATTTTTGTATCGAGGAGCTCATATCGTTCGATGAGATCTTCATCGGCCTATGCGACCAAGTTACCCGGTTATCTTATATCGCATTACGGGACGTTGAGCTAGTAAACGGCCTCCGCTCAATGGTTCCTAGCGAAATACGGGATCGCGATCGAGTTGACTTGATCCTCCTCCTCCTCCCCCGTCCCTCGCCGGCCGTCTCGTCCCCGGAAAACGATGGTCGACGCGTACCCGCTCGACAGTTGATCCCGGAGGATCGAGGCACTCCACGAAACAAATCCCCCCGTGTCGTCACGGTCTACGAACGAAGCGATGATCGGCCTGTAGACTGGCGCGCTCGATGAATCGTCGCGGAAGCGAGCATCGAGCAGCAGCTAGCACCATCCGAAGAAGAAGAAGACGTAGAAGCCGTAGAAGAAGCCCAGCCGCGTAGCGTCGTCCCCATCTCACTCTCTCGCGACAGCCGTTTCTCGGGTGATGCGCGGAAGCAGCTCCGAGCTCCTGCTGGAGGCAAGCTGCAGCCAGTGCCAGAGCGATTACGATCGCGGACATCAGCGTCGGGACAGCGGCGGCGGCGGCGGCGGCGACGGCGGCGGCGACGGCAGGCACGACTTCCACGAGCGGGAGCTACGTCGTCGCAAGCTGTTGGAGCTCGGGTTCAGCGCGTCGCGGCGCCGACCGCCACGGCGTACCTGCCGTCAGCGGTTTAATTTCTACGCCACGTCGGCGCTGGCCTTCGTCGCCACCTCGGGTGGCGCGGCCCTTCTCTTCCTGGTGCCGCTCTACGTCGATCCAGCCATCAGCACCCTAGCGGCGGACTTCTCGCCGGAACCGGTCATCTGCACGACCTCGCGACGCGAGGACCTCGCCGGCCTGTTCAATTGCACATGGAGCTCGTGCCGCGAGGGTTGCACCAGTGATGTGTACAGGTGTACTCATATATACGTCACGTACACGCCGTGGAGCAATGCGACTATGAGGAACGACACCGGCGGCAAAAACACGACCGCGAACACCACCGCCGCTCTGGACACTGTCACTGCCGGTAGGATTATTAAGTTGCAGTGTTTCTTAGCATTTACATGTATGTTTTGCGTAATTAATTGCGTGACTGAGAAATTGTATTTGGCAAAAACATTCGACGACTTGGCGATCGAATCGGGAATTAAATTCAAATTGGTAGCAATCTGATTTAACTCAACTTATCGCGTAATACGTAATAATAAAAAGAGAAGAAGGTGAAAGAAAAATATGAGGTAGTAAAAAATGATTTTATCTTTTCAAAGCACCGTTGTACCGTTCGATTTGTGTCACGAAATGTAAACTACAAGAGAGACATATGACGGAAGCTATAAAATTCGAAAACATGATAGGCATTCGAAATTGTTATCTCCCTTTCTATTGTTATTTGACTATAAAATAGAATGTGCCGCCTGAGAAATCGAAGAGAAATTGGTATCCGTTCCAATTGGATAGAGATCGACGATTGCAGATTGCATGCGTGCTCGGCGAGCATAAAAATTCAAATTTTCCATCCCGATGCTAATCTCCGTTTGTAAAATATCTCTTGTTGAGCAGTGTCCTCCCCGGGGGATGTCGAGGCGGTGCTGCTAGTGAACATCAAGGGCTGCGGATATCCGCCGGTGGTCGACTGCGTGAACTTCACCCGCGAGTTGGGTTACGAGGGCGCGAGGTTCCCCTGCCATTACAGCCGGGTGAACGGTAGCATAGTGATGGCGAACTATAATCGCGAGGCACAGGTCGCTATCATCATGCACTTCTTCGCGGCGCCTTTCGTAGTGACTCTCGCGACCAGCGTCGCGCTGTGTGTGATGCACTGTGACTGCAGGTGCACGCCGCCGCCGCGGCACCCGCCACGCGGCATGAGAAGATCCAGGGGCAACGATCTCAGGTAATTTGGTTCGGCAAAGTACAAAAACTCAGTAACACATTTGTATACCTAGACATGTTCATTTTTTTAACAGTGTACAGATATTAGTAACGTATATATCCACGATACATAATTGTTACGGAATGAGTTAAAATTTAACTTTTGTTCGTTGAATGGAACGTACTTAGAATAGAGTAGAGTGTAGAATAGAGTTGTGACATAAAATGAAAGTGCTTTGATATATATATATATATATGTAAAAAAAATTGCTGAAACGCCATTTACGAAGCGGCGGATCCGCGCGCTGTTATTAATCAAATTGACAATATGAACTCATAATGACGTCAACTCATAATGAAGTCATATGCAAAATTGATAAATTGGTGTTAATATCGCAATTATTGTAATATTACAGCTGCTGCATGAGTATAAAAAATCGATAACGGGTTATAGAAGCGTGCCCGAAGTCGTCCGATTTAGAAGGTGTATTTGACGAGGCAAATAAACTTTCTAAACCATGCGTAAGACAAAGCGACTTAACAAAGATGTTACTACCAACGTATTTACTGTCGTCGTGAAACACGATGCTAAACTCTTTCGGCTGCAAATACTGCCTTAGAAGGTATCACAAAGATCATTTATCAAGATTTGATTGGTGTAATCTTATTAATCTTCGTGTTCCGTTGTGCATAAATATTAATTTATATGATCGTGTAATCAAAGCTGAACAGTCTCGTTAGCACTTCTCCACTATTCTATTTCTCATATTCATATCGGCAAATAATATATCTTTATTTTCACGCCATACGATATCTATTATAATTATAATTACTATTACAATTTAATTACAATATCTAATTACACTTACGATATCTAATCATATTATAATTATAATTATCCATTATAATTATTAATTCAATCATGAATTTCAATAAAAATTAGCTGTCGACTGTCGACTATAGAGATTTTTTATCAAAATTACTTGCAACTTTCGAGATTAAATTCTATAAAATACAGAAAAATTGTTCTTTAAAAATTAATTGAAAAGCCAGTATTAATACTCTATTGCCTTGAAGACATAAAAGCAAAAATAAAAGAAATCCTCAATGATTTTTTTAACGGAAGGAAGAACCGTTTGTCGAATGAATTTTTTAAATCAACTTTGACGCATCCTCGCTTTTGCAATATCATCGTTCAGTTTAAATATTTGTAGTAGCTTATGTTTGTACTGCATGCAATTCAAGTTCTCCGCCGCCAAGTAGTATAGACCAACGTTTCTTCTGACGCTTTCGCTATAATTTATATGCAAAATGCTTTGCTACAAGTACTAGCGTTTTTTGATACACGACGGAACACGGAGTGCTGCTTTAGGAATAGAAAATACACTTTTATCATATTATTACAGAAAAGAGCGAATCGCAGAAACGGAAATCGGATATCGATTCATCATCTCTCGTAATCTCCGCTAATTAACTCCAAAAGGTGCATTCATCTCATTAACAAAACGAGTGCGCCACCGAAAGCCGTGACTGCGCTCTCCGTTGCAACGCAATGAACATGTAAAAAGAGATCTCTAGTTATCGATCGGACGCCGTAAGTAATTCCGTGCACTCGGTATAATCGACAGTTCTCACGGACGTTGATATGTTGCGTGAACAAGCATAGAGCAATCGCGCGTAACTCGCATAATCTATCATTCTTCCGAATATTTTTCTCTCTCTCTCTTTCTCTCTCTCTCTCTTTCTCTGTCCTCTTAATTTTTCCTCTAATTTAGTCGTTGAGCAGAGTAGTTATACAAATCATAAATATAATATTTCCCTCATTTTGGAAAAGAGTTTAGTCAAAATATCTTATGTACAGTTCTAGTAATTTTTTTCTATTCTCCCAAAAATATCCAAAGTTTTATGAATACTACTTAAAATATATGATTTACGATTAATATGACTATTGATTGCTCAACCGCTGAATTATCTTTTAAACGCATGCCACATACATAAATGCTACAATTAAAAAAAAAACAAAAAAAGAGAGAAGAAACCAAATTGTGATACCGAGAAACCGTATGTTAAGAAATGATTGTAACAATAGCGCTTGAAGGCCAGGAAGGATGGAAGGAGTGAAAAATATATTTTCATTTATAATATTACTCTTTCCTCCAAACCATAATACCATCATCGTGCACGTCGAAGAGCCGCCGGAAATTATTGAATTTCGCGCTGCAGCACGACGAGGGTGAAATATTAATCCACATTCAGCGAATGCGGGAAGTGAAGTCGAAGTGGCGATTGAAGTGAAAAGTCGTGGCGTTTCTGCCATTTTTAAAGCGCATCGCAAACCAACATGACGCGCCTCGAGGGCTGGATTCCCCTCACCCCTGAAGGCTGCCTTGTTATCTTTCTACTTTCGTCTGTTTGTCATTTCCACGGCGATGGTATTAGAACTCGGAGGATCGAGGGGGCGGCGAGGGTGGCAGCTAGTAAATGTCAGCCTCGGCTGTCATACATCAGACGTGGATTAACCGGCGACCCTGGCCGTGCTGCTATCGTTTCTCTCGCTTTCTCTGCCTTCTCTCCTTCTCGCACTTCGCCTCTTCTCTCTTTACATCTCTCCTTTACCCGCTTCTCTTCGCAAAGTTGTTTGCCGCTGGACATATATCGCGTGCACCTCTATTGCAAACGGTATTTCCGTTGTCAGGGCTTTTCGTTTTTATCTCGCCAGACCACGAGAGTTTGTCGCACAAATCATTGTAATCCGCAATAATGTAATTATGTTTGCCCGGGACTCGTCCCGGGATTATCCCGGTAATCGCATGCTGTCTGAATGAAACTGGCGTATTATTTCCCACGGGGTCACCCCTTTCGTGTCCCGATAACTTTACTTTCGGTGAGATAGCCGCCGCCGTCGATTCTCGTTTTAAGTAGTAACAAGTAAAGATAAGATAATGATGAAATTTAGAGAAAAATTATAAAGGGCAAAAAGTACGAAATAAAATGTTGTAAGAAATGGTGGAGTTGATGAAAAGTGATATTCCTGCATTCCACGCGGCGTACAGAGGTCAATTCGGAGCGATCTGTCGAAGCGACGATTTTGCATGCCATGGTGTTCGACCTCCGTTTCGCAGCTTGTAATCCTCGAAATTCGTCGCGCACGATCGAGAGAAAACGCGACACGCGATACCGCCGGCGTGTCACTTCCACGGGAGATCATGTTTCGTATCAAAGGCGGGTAAAGATGAAGTACGGCAAATTCCGTTACCGTATCCTTTCTCAGACGTTCCACGGGACAGACCGATCAAGCCCGGCCCGATCTATGAAATCCGAGAAATTCTTCTCGGATCGCGAAAACTCACCCTCGGCGAAATACACTCGCGTGTTCCTCAATCATGCTAACGATTACGACAAACTTTTCGCTCGAGCTTTACAGAGTATAAATTATGCGAAATAAATGGACTTTGTAATCGGAATACGGAGTACTTCCATTTCCCGTAAAGAGATGCTTCCGGCGAGAGTAAGCTTTCTTAAATTTGCACAGCATAAAGTATATCTTGTGAAATAATATTTGACGTGCTTGGCGATCTATTTTTTTGAAAATCAGTCGAGCTCTCGAGACAGACGGAGCGAAGTGGTGCACTTAGGCGTACTCGTTAACTTGTGATCACGGTGAGACGACACCTGCATAAGCGAACGGATAGAGATAAAAAAAAAAAAAAAAATCCTCTCGAACTTTTAATTGAAACAGCGCTCCGAAAAGAGCCGCCTTTCCGTGTCAACACGTGAATAAGAGAAAGTCTCGGGAACTCATTTTACAGCGCGGCTGAAGTCTCCTCGACCGATATTAACGCGAGAACGAATGAAATTTTGAATTAACATCAGAGAATGCAGTCGCTTTGAACGTACGAAGGGCAGTTAATCGAGAGAAGAATTTCGTGCGAATTATATATGCGTGCATAATGACGAGATTGTGTGCAATCGCAGTGACACGCTTAACAAAATGCTAGATTAAAACACGCTGTTCTACATTTCCGCGATATTTATAATTCGACCGTAAAAGTGCAAATTAGTCTACAAATTTACAACGTCATCCTCATCCTGATTGTCCCGTAATTGAACTCAGGTATGAGACGAACAAATGCCGGAATTTCCAATTATGCGCAAACTCTGGCTTTCGCCGGCGTAGGACGGTTAATTTGACATTTGAGCAATGCTCCCCTGTGCGCTTCGGGGCGCATGAAGGCACGGGCTGCTTTATTCCGCACATCGCTCGCGGAGCGAGCCGTACGTAAAAAAAAAAAAAATTGGCAGTGATCGAGAGAGAGATACAGAGGTGGATCGTTCACTGTCTTGCGCACGCAATGCAATCGCCCGCAAATTGCATTTGTCCTGCATTCCGCGAGAGGCATGTGCTGCCGGTTTTACAATCTTATTAAATATTTAGCGATTCGAAGCGCAGGTACGATTGTTTATGATAGACACGCACGCATCGTTACTTATTTCGCATACGTTATAGCCGGCTCTATAAACAGATGAATCATATAATTTGTGATAAAATCGAAAAATGAATATTTATGCGAACGCGGAGAGAGAATATTTTCTTTCTTTATAAAGGAATTATACGGATGGTTTGATTCAATTTAAACGATTGAAATAATGAAAAGAATACATGTTTAATTTATGCATTTATCAAGAAATCGTGAAAGATTTTTTTTCAAATTGCATTTTATTTACCTGTTTGCATAATAACGCCATTATCGTATCCCTTCATTTCGAAATAACTTGAACAAAATTTTCCATTACGAACGGCATTCTATCGCACAAAATGACTCACTTTATCATAATTATTATGCTGCATAATTCCTCGGGCAATCAATTACCGCGATCGGTTATAAACGCATGAACATAATTCACATCTAAATCCGCACATGAGTACGCACAATTTTACAGCTTGCGTACGATCATACGGAGCTTAAGAGCGACCGACTTTGTCGAGGCGCACGCAAAATGCAATTGTAATACCGTTGCTTAATTGCTTCGTGTTGCACACGGTGTATAACTGCCACTGCCTCCAATGCGGAGGCGTTTGCGGTAACGGCGATACATCGAAGGAAGATTAACTCTATGGAGCTTAACGTGCAACGGGGTTAACCCGACGGAGAAGGATAACGGAAACCGAAAAGGGTATTAATTGCGAACTCTCCAGAGAAAATCAACATTTCCGCCGCCGTTTAGGGTCCTTTGCAATTCATGAGAGTTGAAATAAGTCAGATAATCCGGGATTAAATAATATTCGCGCATAATCAGCCATTCTTTTCTCTTCAATTACAATTAAAAACATAAAAAGGAAAGTAAAAGTATTTAAATGAAGGAGAAGTCGGAGATATCGCAGATACCGATTTACATTTTCTGGAATATCAATATCTCGAATAGCGTAAATTCAGGTTTATATTACCGGAGGGCGCATAAAATTATCTCTAACCGTAGACGTTTAATTTCCTGACTTACATCTGTTTCCCGTTAGGATCAAAATCATAATAGAAATCTCTGTATTTCTATTCCTCCTCCCGCATTGTTATCTGCACAAACGTTTTGTTCATCAACCGAGTCACGCGCACGTTCATTTCTTTTCATCGGGAGCAGAACTCCTTGAGAAATTGCACTGCCCGATTATTATACCAGCCCCTCCGCTCCATCCAACCGCCCTTTCAATGGACCTATTCAGAATCCCTGCGTTATTGACTATTTATTCAATCGTGCGCTCCCGCGCTCAGTGCGCCCGCGCTTGTTCCCATCTCGCGGAATTACAGTTTCGATCAAACTAAATCAGTTCATGACGCGCCTTCGAGGTCGCGCATTACACATACAAGTCCACGCTTTATGCACCCATACGCGTGCACACCATTGCGATCTTATATTGCACACGTCTACTACGTAGTGGCAGGCGCCACTGCTCGGTGTGGTTATCTAGCTCGCCATTAGGCACGATTGTAGTTTAATTGCTTTTGACGTACGTTCTGGCCGTGGAAGCACTCCGGTCCTTTTAAAAGTAAAGACAAACTGATCTCGACGTAAACGAAGTCGTGAAAAATACCGCGAGAACTCTTATTGAAACTCTTATTTCACGGTTCTAATTACGATAAAAGGGTTGATTTTAACGCGTAAAACTGAAAATCGCAAAATCAGGGATTACTGAGAGTTGATAACTCCTTTTAATGAATAGCGGAAATCAAGCTAATTAATTGGAAGAGCCGTGAAACGAGATGAAGCTGAAAATATTTTTATGACTGTGATAATATTGCTTCGCAAATTCTGTGATTGAAGTGAAGCTAAATTACATTTCATCGCAACGAATAGATTTGTGAAAAATATTATGGAACTTCTTTGTTTTGATACCTCCAAAAAAATCTATGAGACTCGTAACTTAGCAGCATTGAATTATTTATTGAAATTTTTGCACCGGTTTCCTCCCCCTTCAAATTATTTGAAATGGTGTCAGCGCTGTTGTTGTTTACCACTCCGCGATATCGTACTAAAAGTTGCTGCCGTTTGCCGCGCGATGAAGAAAAGTCGTCATGCTAGAAACAATATGAAGAGCGGAATGCAGGTCATGACATCTCTTTGAAGTGCGCTTCATATATGCCTGCGTTGGACGAGAGCCTGAGTTTCCGCAAAGCGAAGATCTGCCTCGATACATTTTAATTATTTGTATATCTTTGAAGCTCGTTTCTCGTGATAAAAATTAATTAAAAAGTCATACGCTTACATTCACGATAAAATCCGCGGGGCAACTATTGTTTACGACAATTGAAATCAATAACGAATTTGCAACAGTGCTGAAAATCGATAATATCAGTTTAATCAGGCGACGGAATTCACGCGCAGCACGTGTAATAAATTATTGATAATGTAGTCTGTAAAGATCACTATCTCCATTTAAACTGCAGTTTATTCACCGGCGCTGTCGGACGGTTAATCATCGCCGATTGACATACAATTTTATGAAACGGAGTTGTCACATAAAAGAGCCTCGGGTTTCAATTGCTTCGATTTCATTATATCGATTTCGCTTTATTTTGATAGTTTTTATTCTGTATTTTATAGGCATACAAAAAAATATTGATAGTCAATTCTGGACGGTATAATAAGTAACATTTGAAACATGATCGAAAATATTCGAAAACAGAAAATTGGATCGTTGAGTCGCTCGAGCAGCTTCAAAGCAGCAATTGCGTTGCTATTTACAAATTACAAGTGTCATTACGTGCGTTTACTTGCAGATGGAATAATTCCAATTCAATTTATGTCCATCGTGAACAACTTTGTCAAACAGAATGATCGCGATAAGACAACTCCAAATCGATTGCATTTCTGCAATAGGACGCGATGATTGACACGTCCAGTATTTATTCAGGCACGGCAAAACAGGTATATCGAGCTTGCGTGTGAGCCGGTAAATCTTTGTCCATTGGCCAAGCGTAAAAACGATCCTAATACGTTTAGCACGTCCTCTCGAATAAGTTATGCACGAAGTGTAGAGCGTCGAATCGAGTTCCCAAGCGGTCCGGGGAACAGATGGCGAAACAGCGCTCATCGATCGTGTCCCTTGTCGTCCTGCTGCCAGTTCCCAGTGAAGAGTAGTCACGATACGGCGAAAAGTATTTCAGATATGAGATTCATGCATTCACCTAGATAAGTCAGTACTTTCCTCGTTTTGTTAACACCGCCAGCAAACTATTTTGATTTGGTAATTCATTCTCTTCGTGCATTTTTTTCCGCAATATCTCACAAAACGATGTATCAAATAACGATGTATCATATATAATATCATTTATATGAAAAAGTAACGTGAAAATTTGATGATTCTTGATGCAAAGTGGTTCAAATAACAAATTTGAAAAAAATGTGTGTGGGCGAAATATATAGATATAAAAAATTTACCAAAATTTTCGCGTTTCAATTCTTCTCATACATTTTAAATAAAATGATAATTCTTTCATGCACGATAACA